CTATGTGAGAAAAAAGTAGCAGAGCCACAGGATCTATTGTCAAGTGTACAGTTTGCAAGGCGAAGGGCTAGTCCAGCAAGTAGTTTTGTCCTTTCCTGTTTTTTTGTGTGGCAGCTCTATTGGACATTCTGGGCTCTGCCAGCCTGAATGTGCTTCAGGGTACCTGTAGCTGTGGTGAACGTGGAGAGTAGTGTAGTGTGTGTGAAGTGTAAAGGCTACCAGGGCAAATCTACAGCCACTGGATTTCAGAGAGCATATAATTTGCTTTTAAACAGGGTATGTCACAGAAGACTGTTTCCCTTGGCACATTTTCCTTTTTCAGCTTTAGCTGGAAAGTTTTGCCCTGGGCTGTTTTACTGTGCAAGACCAGTAGAGGACACTCTGGGCTCTGCCAGCCTGAAAGTTGTTCAGGGTACATTTAGCTGAGAAGAACATGGAGCACAGTGTGGGATGAGTGCTGTTTAAAGGCTGCCAGGAGAAAGCCATGGTGTACTTCTGCGGCTAGGGCTCATCTGCTGCACTCTTCACAGTAAATATGTTGAGATCTGCTAGAGTGGAAGAGAAGGTGTGCATCCAAATATATGAGAAAGAAACACCAGAAACATAAGCTCTAATGTAAAGTTTGCAAGCTGCAAGGAGAAGGGCTACTCGGGTCACTGATTTTGCCTTTGCCCGTTTTCTTCTGCCGCAGCTGTAGTGGACATCCTGGACTCTGCCAGCCAGAAGGTGCTTCGAATTACATCTGGCTGTGGTGGACATGGAGGGCAGTGTGTTTTATATACGGTTTAAAGGCTGCTAGGGGAGATCGACTGCCCACGATTTTTGAGGGCATCAGATTTTTTTTTATGAGATGGGGCAGGGCACTGAAATCTTTCTCTCTTGGCACACTTCACTCTTTGAGCTCTAGCTGGAATGTGTTCCTTTCTGATTCATTCTGGGACACTGAGAGTCTGTCGTGGTAGGAGCTCGTGAGAAGTCCCTTGCAGCCATGAGTTTGGTGTAATTCTTTGGGTGCAGGGGAAAGTGTACCATCAGCCATTACTTATATAACTGGCACAAGGCAAAATCTTATTCACAGGACACATTTATGAGACAGGTTTTCTCTTTTTTTTTTTTTTTAAAGACAGCAATGGATAAGGAGTTCTCACAGAGTTTAAGTTTTTAAATCCATTTCAGAGTGAAATGGATTTGTGGAAAGAGAGCATCTATAATCTATGTTTTCTATGATGCAGCTCTGCATTTTATCAAATTGCTATTTGACATAAAATCTCTCCAGTGCGACAATTTAGAGAATTTATCTCTATTATCCTTGATAAAAAACTGACATACAGAAACAGCAAGATGCTCAATGCCTATATATGTGTGTGCACATACATACACACTTACACTGAGCTAGAGAAGATCGATTGAAAGTCCTTCTATACCAGCATTAATGGAACTTAACTGGACAGCAGTTTGGAGTAGCATGTGCCTGAACAGAGTCTGTGCAATAATTCCTATTTTCGGAAGCAAAAGGTGGGTAGAAACCTTTCCCAAATCTTCGTTCACGAAGCCTGGCCATGATGATAATGATTTTCAGAAGCATCTAGCATTACATTTTTTATTGCAGAGACAATTATTTTACTTTAGATTACTTATTTAGGGAAAGTAATTTATTTCCCTCAATGTTTATAATTAATATCTAAAATCAAATCTGAAGCAGTCAGTCTGAAGTTGGAATAAACATGAGATTAAGCCTCTGAATAAATGATTTGATTTACTGTCCTTTACGTACAAAGCGTCACTCATGATAAGAAAACAATGTTTGCAAGAAAAACAGCACACTCATTTTAATCTTCGTGTGCACTTTTTTGACAAACTGCTTACAATGAAATCTAAAAGTTTAGTGGAATGCTTTTTTGGATTTGCCTGTAATTTCAAAAGCAGCTTTGAAATGTCAGTATTTAGACAAGGTTTTTAATCACCTTTTATTGGATTATTCAATATTTCAGACTGATATAGTTCTTTAGAAAACTGTACCCAGATTGAGGGTAGAAAAGAAGCCAAACAATTGAATGTACAACACTTACAATTTCCAACAGATGGCACTTAATAGCAAGGAATCTTTACTGTCTACCGGAAAGAGAGCAAAAGCAATTATATGGCTGTGTGCATTGACATCCTAAAGTCTGCAAGAGAAAAAGCGTTATATCCTTAAATCTGAGAGTAGAGTTCTATAAAACTGAAAGAACAAAGAGGGAATTTAAAGCCAAACAAAAACGTTCAATTAACATTCTCTCTCAGATATTAATCACACTGACATGTTCTTCCAAAGGCGGAATATTCCCATCTTCTTTTCTTCTCACTTACAGCTAAAATGAAAGACAGCAAAGAAAATATGACCATCAGACTGTGGTTATTACTGCATACAAGCTCAGAAGAAAACAGAGAATACTTTCAGTAATATGACTTAGAGAGTCCAGTCTTGTGGAAAGTTTCACAGGCATTTTGATGTCTAAAGCAACACAGAAGATTTTTAGAACCACTTATGATCTAAATAAACAAAAAGGCCTGGAAGCATTTCAGCCTCTGAGTTACAACCCAAATTACAAGCCAATTTACACTTTTGTCTGTCAGTATCATCTAAGTAGAATGTGCTTACTTACGAGATTCACAAGAGGCAAACTGAGAATGACAACATTTAAAAAAATCTATGGGAGCTAAAAGTTATCTTCAGCTACCTGAACAATAGTTCAACAGACAAAGTCAGTCTTCTTGGATATGCACAGAGAAAGGACAAAATGATGTGATGTGATGATGACATTTCAACAGGATGCAGGGTGTCCTCTTTCTATTAAAGATCTGAGGACCATGTCTTGGTCTGAATCCTCTCACTGAACTAAGTAGTTTGATTTTAAAGTCACCTATATTTCAGATGTAGAATTTGCTTAGTTGGCAAGCTTCCAATTTTCTAAGTTAATTTATATAGGATTAAGTCAGTAGCCACAATCAAGCAGCACTTGCTACGCTAGACAAAATAAAAGGAACATGTAATTTGTAAATCTTGTGAGAGTTTACAGATTAAATGTTACCATCTAACAGTATTCACTAGTGTTTAAATTATTCATGCCAACATGTAGAAAATATAGCTACATACATGTACAGTATTTCCAACTCTAAGGGGCATGCAAAAAAATTCTCAGACATCTTAGCTATATCCTTAAGGTGATGTATGGTCAAGGGAGAGTGGAAGGTTTAGACAAAATTATAAAAAAAAAGCCCTGCTGCTGATCACAAGGTGCAAAAAGGACTCCCTTGCTTTCTAAACTCCTTCTCAGAGAAGGGTTTAGGTGTGCCTGAAACCTCTCTTAGCCTTGGACTGTGTCAACAGTTTAAATTTAAGGAATTATAGAGGTGTGATTAAAACAGTTTGTCCTGCAAGTTTTTAATAATGGCAAAATGGATATATTTATATAAAATGAATTATCTATTATGACAAATGAACAGACAAGTGAACAGAAGAAAGATCTTAATCAGAATTATATACTACACAATATAAAAGCTAAAAATCTCCTATTAGGGTATCATATAACATAAAGTAACAAAGCTGTAACAAAGCAATTATATTAAAGCAATTGTATCAAAGCTAACAAAGGAAACAATCATTAAGTAGAGATTGGTAGAGATAAGATAGCACACAGATCTTTTAACCCCTGGGGAGTAACTATGAAGAGGCATCCCTGCTTCAAGGAGAAGCTCCACACTTCAAGGAAGTGTGTGGAAGCGTCTGCCAAATGAGAGGTGGACCGGGCTTTTATAGTTATACCAGACTATATACCTACAGTCACAGATTACAGGCAAGCAGATTAGTTTATCTGTCAAATTCTGCTTCAGGAAAGCAGGATGTGTATTCGAAATCTGGTGAACCAGGCTGGTTTTAGCATAATTCAATACCAAGACAGCACCTGGCACCAGCAGTTGAACTTGCATGATAGCTTGAGTGATGGTTTGCATTGCATGCATTCTCTGATCAGATTCTAGGCCTTATCAGGGTGGGCTATCCTGCTACAACAGGACAAACCATCTTTTTAGGCACTCAACTCTATCAAATGATTTTACTGAATATTATGTGTCCCAGAAACTTTTCCTGAAATACCTTTTCTAAATCTATCCTCTGTACCTAAGTATCACTAGAAACTCCACACTGAATGTGAAGCCGAGATGTCTGTAATACAGATGAAGTTCTCACTTCGGCACCAGGCTAGGGAAAATGTCAAGTGTAAGAACATAGAGGAAAGGGTAGTGTTATACCTCTTGTAGGGCAAGTACTGGGCCCCCAAAATCCATGAAAGCTACATTCCTCTCTGTTTCTGAAGGAGGCATTTTTTCTGCTGATTTTAATCAAAAAATTTAGGCACATAAGAATGTCACTCAGCAGTCAAGAAACAAACAAGTAGCAGTGAAAATACAGCAGAAATGCAGCAACTACCAGAAACCAAAAGACTTCAAGCCAGGTATTGGCCTTATCAGGCTCTAGAGCTCTCATGAAAACACAGCTGTAATTTTAGCATTTTTTCACTGTCATTGGTAGCAATAGATTTATCTCTTGCACAGATGAAAAACTCCATACCCAGATGAATTGAAACATGAGCTGTTCATTCATTTAGAATCAATTGAGCCACCTACTTTACTGTTGATTTTAAGACTGATTGATGATTTTGGTGTCAAGGAAAGCCTTACTAATCTGATATTAACAAACTCTGCTCAGAAGGAAGAAGTTGTTTCCATAAAGATTCATACAACTTCAATGCTATAAAAATTTATGGATTGATCTATTTAGTTAGTGACAGACTTCCATATATCTGATTCAGGCTGCTGCTATGATCTGGTTATTAAAATCATGAGAAATGCCTCTGCTCAAATTAAGGTGCAAATGAGACCAAATGCCAAAGTCAATAATACGGGTTTTATTTAACAGTAAATCTGAGACAGAGAGAGATAGAAAGAAATAGAAAAAGGGTGGGGAGGGGAAGAAGAGAGAGAGAGAGAGAAAAATAGAAAAGGTATCACCACTCCATGTAATCCGGCAACATCCCATAGGCCCCATTCTTCTGGTTTTCTTGGTGGTGAGAGGGATGCCTTGGAGGTCTTTGATTGTTTATGACCCCTTCTCAGCTGCCTCTCATGTGAATGCCCCATGTGTACATGGTCGTCCTGGGGGGGGCCGGTTTACTCTGTTTCGTGTGGAGAGATTTTGCCATCACACACCCAAAACCCTTCTCCTCTGCCACCCACTGAGCTCAGCTAGGACAGATTCCCTGAGCCTTGTTTACTTCTCCTCAGACCTGAGATGATTAGACAATAGTCTTATTTCAAGCTTCCCTTCACAGTCCAAATTCCAGTCAAGAAGCATATTGAGGAAGATGGGGTGATTTCAGTGGTTGCAGACAGGCAGTTGCTTCCTTGCAGCTTGACAAAAAGGCTTTCTATGATTTTGACAAAGTTTAAGACATTAATAACATCTCAGTCCATCACAACTGCTTCCAGTCTTCTCCTATTAGTTCCTTCATGTCTAAATCCTTGAAAAATTCCAGACAATGACTGCAAAGAGAGGAGAAATAAACAAAAAAAGTCGTAAGTCTTGTAAACGTGTCTTAACAAAAGACAGTATTCTCAATACGCTCAATTCATCTTTATTTTATGGTTTTCTTGGACAGGAATGTAACCGGCATTCCACGTGTTCATTTTCCAAAATTTGAATTTATAAATAAAAAACACTACTGTGTTTCTGAAAACCTTGTACTGTAAAGCACGGGGCAAAATCCTCAGTTATGAACAAGTATCACCCAGCAGAAAGTGAAGTTAACAAAGTGCTTGCCTTTTAAACTCCCTCAGCTTATGCTGCCTGGAACCGCTGGCAGAGCAAGAGCAATGACATCCTGCTTTATGACATATCCGCACTCCAATGGAGCCAAAATTTACAAGTCTTGACCAACTTACAGAGGAAAGGAAGACTGGATGGGATAATGAAGCTAGTAAATATATTTTTTTCATAAGACTAGAAACCTCATTTTCTTTTAAATACTATGAACCATTCCTTGTTAAGAATTTTTTCTTTAGGCTATCATACAGAAACAATAGAAGGAAGGCACCAAAGTCAATTGCTAATAAATACTTACATTAAACAACAACCAAACAGTAAATAGAACATCTGACACCACATTAATCATTTAAAAAGGTGAATGGAACTCTCGTATTAGAAGGTAATTTGTAAGAGTAAAGACAAACTAAGAATAATGAAAACAGCAAGGAACAGCCTCTTCACATAATTGCATCTGCTACCAAGGTCTGAAAAAGACAAGGGTTTTTTTTTGAAAGCGATACTGTAAAAAGAATCCCTTCATGAAAAATATAACAGGCTATTACAGAGAAATAAAAATATCTTTTTCTCACAGAACACTGCTAATGTATTTTATCAGCAATAGCTTAGAATTTTCAAAAACAAACAGTTGCAGAACCGAACTTAAGTTTTTCTTAAAAAAAAGGCAACAAAGAGTAATTTATCTATGCTTTACCTTACTTGTCATTGTATGTTGTGTGACAAGGTTGCATAAGAAATATAGTCTGTCCTCTAAAGCTAGTTAATTTATAAAAAATGAACAGAAGTAACAGTTTTATCAGACCAACCGTCTCAGCCACACAGCCAAAGAAAATAAACAAGCCCAAAACACAATTTAAAAAACAAGATTCTCTAGTTATTCTAATGATACTGGGTATCCTTTTATTATGCTTTTTGGTTTAGTCTGCCTTTTCAAATTTTTCTACAATATGGAGCCATCTGTAGAGGTGAAGTTGTTTAGAACAGTAGGGGAGTAGCAAAAGAGATTTACTGGAAATGTATCTGGTGAAATTATCACTAAATGGCACTTCAGGAGGTGCTGGAGGCAGGGGAAAAGTAGAATAACCTATCTATGATTTAGCTCAGGAAGGTGATCAAGCAGATGTCAATAGTATTGAATGCATCGTTTTCTATGCACCTAGGGGATAACATGGAAATCAAGTACTGATTACAGCTATCTGCCACAGTGCTTTATACAAAATACAGCACCAGTGGATCCAGAGCTAAGCAGTATAATTAAAATACTAGTGCCACTCAGTCCTAAAACTAGATTGGCTTTCTTTAAGTATTCCAACAATAGTGCAACTATATTAAAAAAGAGCTAATTTTATGTTTACAAATCTGCTTTCTGTCCTTCCTGTAGTTCGTGTCGAGGCACAGGATAAAGTGCTTTGTATTTCCTCTCTTCTTCCGAGCCATGAATTGCAAATCATTGAACTTGTTAGTGTAATTATGGTGGAAAGTACTTACAAGGAAGATGAGCTTTACCCTCCCATTTGGTTTTCATTCTGGTCACCTCAAACTCTAAAGGAAGTTCTTTCTGTTAAAAGAGAGGAAAAAAAAGAGGTAATGTCATCTTTTGATCAGAAAACAGGTACCTAAAAATAGTTAGTTTTTCTGCACATTGTGAATGTACTTTACTACTTACTTTCCATATTTTTCTTCTGCCAGAAAGCAGCAGTAGTAAGTGCTGCCTGTGGCTGTCAAAAAATCACAAAATGATTCTTAAAATGATGTTAAGTTATTAGTGTATTATACTGCCACAAAGATGTACATTCCCCATATTTAAACAATTTCTGTATCGAGTCTTCCACATACATATATATTACAAGCATAAGAACTGGAAGTGTAAATTAACATTTGTGACTTTTTCAGAGTGCTATACTTACGGACAAAGGTCAACTTCTAAAGAGTGCTCAGTTCTGTCACTTGGAAAAATGCTTCTACAACTAAAAAAAAACCCCAAACCAGGCTGTCAGTATTTTATATTAACTACTTTGTAATGTCCTGAGATCTTCATATCCCATTAAAACAATTCTGTTTTCATGAGTTTCATGCCAGAGTTTGACTTGCTTGTGTACATGCTACTGACGGTTTCCTAACTACTCAAAATGCTGTGCCATAATTCTAACTTCAGGATCTTTTATTTTTCATTTTCTTTTATCACAAAATGTGTTATAAAGTACTGTACTAATTTTATTAACTTTACCAACTCCAGCTTTGAAAACACTCACCTTGATCTGGCAGAAAAATAAGGCAAATCTACTAAGATTAGCTCTCCCTGGAGTAAGAAACACATTAAGCATACAGTTATTTCATCCTGTACACTTGCTGTGAACAAAGCTGGCCAAGACAGAGTAATCCTACTCAATCATACTCTCAACAGGAGCTCCAGGTAGAGCACTTAAGTGGGTAAGTCTTGTGTTTGCTGGTAGCCTGAGGATTCAGAGCATCAGACACAGCAGAGCACACACCCCAAAACTATGACTGCTAAATCTCAGAAACAGTGGGAAAACATTTAGCTCTTAAATGGTTTTTCCCTGTAGATGGGTGATATTTTGACCAGGTATACCTGAAAGCCACCTATTACAGAATCATAGAATATGATGAGTTGGAAAGGATCCACAAGGATTATTCAGTCCAACTCTTGTCCCTGCACCAGACCGTTCCCAAGAGTCACACCATGTGCCCAAGAGTATTGTCCAAACGCTTCTTGAACTCTGTCAGGTTTGGTGCTGTGACCTCCCTAGAGAGTCTGTTCCAGCACCCAACCACCCTCTGGGTGAAGAACCTTTTTCTAATATTTAACCCAAACCTTCTCTGACACAACTTCAGGCCTCAGGTATTACAGTTGAATCACATTTCAGGAACACAAAGTAGAACTACAATGGTGTTCCTCATAGCAAGGACATTATTAGAAACCTTTAGTTAGAATTATGATTAGATATGACTGATATATTTATTTTTACATAAGCCTATTATAATAATATCAAAGAGGTGCTAATACTGTTTCAGTAGAGCTTTAATCAGAATAGCTCAATAATTAGGAAGTAGAGAACTTCTGGAAACATTCAATTCTTGCATTACTCAAAGCAATGAGTAAAAGTGACAGGAAAAGGAGAAAAAACAGCATTACTATAGAATTTTCCCCATTACATTTGGGTACAATTTTGAATTGTAATTTTTGAGCTGCAACTTCTGTGTTTTACACCTTCCTACTCCTCAAAGAAACTTTGGAAAAGCAATTAAAACACTTTACTTCTAAAAGTAAAAGTAGAATCCATCTTTAGGATTTCACTTCTACTTAGTTCCTGCAAAGGCATTTATATATATGTGCCACAAAACTATTTCGATATTCAAATATGTCAAGCCTCTGATAGTCCACAAGTTATATCAGTTATGCAAAAACTAAGTTTGAGTGCATATACTATTGACAAGATCAGGAAGAGTCAACCTGAACATCACTGAAGTCAATGCAGCTCAATGAGTGACCCAATACATTCACTTCTTTTCCCGGTCGTCTGTACTGTTGCACTACTACAGACCTACAACTCACGGTCAGCAGTGCCAGTGATGAAAATCAATTCCCCACCTACAAAAAGAGCATCACTCCTGAGTCAATCTGGAGTAGTTTTCATCTGAATATAGCAGGAGGTTTATAGTTACTTGAGGAGCTGTTTAAGGGTAAGGCAATGATTACAACTGCATTCTTTCCCAGTATTCTTTCACAGACTCCTCAGGATATAGCAGAAAGGAAAATTTTTACTTCACATTTTAGATCTGACCTGTAAAAGCAGTACTGTGACCAAAGAAACTGGATTAGATGTCATACAGACACAACTGTTAGATCAGTTTGAGAAAACAACCCTTAAAGACTCTTAAATAAAGACCAGGCATATTAACTGCAGAGGAACATCAGTGTCTACAGAAATCAGATCTATTTGCAGCAGAACAGTTACACTTACCCTCATAGTCTCACAGCCTATCAAAAGGTTTCCCTGGCTCTCCAAGTGGTGCTTGAGGGTCATTACAGAAGGGACCATGAACTTCCATTAGCAGTCCTGCATTGTCTGGCCTCAGCCGAATCATAACCAGGTCATGGCTCACAGGCAAACCATCCCACGTGTGTTTAATTCTAAATTCCATATACTACATAAATGAGAAAAGAAAGTTCTGTCAAAGAAGATCTCAGTTTCCATGCTTACCCAGGAAAAAAAGACATGCTTTCGTATAAAGCAAAAAAATAATGTTTTTGACATCAAAACTGAAATAGATTAGCTTTGTAAAAGCACTAAATAAAAAGTTACATGAAGGCTGCTTCTCATAGGTTTTTATACCTGCAGGGCTACAAATCACTCTGAAGTCTAATCAGACTTAAAGCTTTTCAACCAAGCATCTAAACCTTCCAAACCCACTAGAAATATTTATCAAGAGAACAGATAAACAAAACAGTCTCCACCTCATAGTCTTAGAAGATTTGGTAACACGAGAAAAATAGATTGAGAAAAACCTTTAACAAATGTTCGAGATACAAGACAATGAAGCAATTAGCCAAAGCTTTTCTTTGTGGTCATTGCAAACCAGACAAACTAAGGGATTTCACAGAAAACTGCAAGCACATCTTGTTAAACACACTGAATGTTTGCAGAGCAGCCAGAATAGAGGATACTGCAATCAACAGCTGATGTTACTTAGAAATAACTGTACAAGCCTTAAGAATAGCCTCAATCTAATAAGCAAAAGAACCAGTGGTACCCAGTTTACAACCATTTTATGGCCTGTTACTCCTACCCTTCTCAGTATTATGAGTTCATGCCCATCTCTACAAAAAGTATCCTTGACTTGTTTCCTTACTCATCTCCCTGCCATAGGAGAGAACTAGCAGTGTATAGCCTGACTGAGAATTATGCACATGCTGTCAAATCCTGTGACTAGAGAGGTGCTGGCTCTGTAGCTAAATTGTAACCACCTTCAGTTGGAAGCACTAGATTGGGTTACTTTACTCAGATACCCATTTTCTTGGAAATCACAGACCTCGGCCACAGCGGCATTACAACTCACCAGCAAGGTGAGCTGTAATGCTGTCATTGACTCATGTTTCACCCAACCAAGGGAATTTGCCTCTTCCATCCCAAACTGTACTTATGACGGCAAAAAGGCTAGAAACAAGCAGGAAGGAATAAACCGCTCTGTTTATTAGTTGCTTCCAGGGGAAAAGTTGGAAACTGAGTCAGAGACAGCAGCTTTTACAGTATTTAAGACTTCATTACTAGAATCACAGAATCAATTAGGTTGGACAACTGTTTCTGGAGGTGTTTAAGGAAATGGATGTGGCACTTAGTGCCATGGTCTAGTTGACATGGTGGTGGTTTGGTCGTAGGTTAGACTCGATCTCGGAGGTCTTTTCCAACCTAATTGATTCTGGGACTGCCACCCCTAGTGCAGCTTAAGACTGTGCCTTCTCGTCCACTCGCTGACTGCCTGGGAGAAGAGGCCGATCGCCATTTGGCTACAACCTCCAACAGGCAGGCACGAGTTCCCGAGGGCTCCACATCGCTCCCGCTTTCGGTTCCCGCCTCTGCTACTCTAGCCACCAACTAATTTCCTGAAAGGGAGTTTAACGCGTGAGCGCCTACCTTTAGCCCACAAACTCCTCGAGCGAAGTTTTAACGAGGGATTCCTTACACCTTCAGACGCCCCGCCGCTGCGGCTCCCGACAAAAAAGCCCGGCTCCACATGGAAACCGAGAGCCTCTAATCCCACTCTCCCTCACCGCCGCAGAGCTCCGCCCTGTCTGGACTCCACGTGACCGAGGCCGTCGCTGAGGGCGGGGCGGAGGCGCCGGCGGACGGGAGCGCTCCTGCGCCGTTGTGAGGCTCCGCCGCCGGGGTGCGGAGGCGGCCGTGGTGGCACCGGGGCTGATTTCCTCCCGGGGCTGAGGGTGGGGAGCAGAGGGGCAGCTCCATTCACCGGCCCCGCCCGAGCGCGTCCCTGGGTGAGGGGAGCCCGCCCCCGGCGCCCGCGAGTTGCCGCCTCCACCCATCCAGAACGGTTCTCGCCTTCCCTGCTCGCGAGCGGCTGGAATAAGTGGCTTTTCCCCGGGTGTTTGGCGAGGGGAACTCTGCGGTGGGAAACGCGGGCACAGCCAGGTGAGCGTTGGTGGCAATGAAAATTTATATTCTTCATCGAGTAACAGCGTGAATAATAGTTTTAGTTAACTTAACACTAATAATTAAAAGCTGCTAATTACGGTAGTAGCCAAACCCACGTGCCTTTCTGTGTCAATGCCTCGTTAATTGTGAAACCACGGCATTTCCTGTGCTTGGCTTACACCTCAGAGGTAGAAAAAGCTCTCTTGCCGTTTACTTATGAAATTTGCTTTACAGACTAAAATCAGTATTTTTAGTTACACGATACAATTTTGATAGTTTTAATATTTCTTAACATGACTATCAGACTACACCTTAGCAAAATACTGGCAAAAAGATGTTGCTCCTGCACAGCTTATATTCCTGTAAATAGGAAATGTGTTGTCCGAAGAACTGTCACTGTCCCTAATTAGTGTCGCAGGAAAACTTTATAGGACAGTAGTAAGACAAGATCACAGTACCTGAAGTACTATAGCTGTGCATTACTCAAACCTTAGAATTTGAATTGGTAGCAAGTTTCTTGTGATGGCTTTAGGTGGCCAAAGGTGAAAGACCAGCTCTTGATTCCAAAGACCTCAGTAGCAGAAAAGCTTCTGTTTGAACCAAGAGTCATTCTGGTTCGAAAATCTGTATGTTTATTGAACTTTGCAAGAGTGTTCATTATGCTGTTACGTGAACAAATCATGATTTTTCAAATATTTGGAATTTTGCCTTTCCATATGTATTTACTTTGTCTGGCTCTACCTTCTTATTTTATAAATCTTTAGGCTTGAAATAAAACTCAGACTGTGAAGTGGTAAGAATTGCCTTTCCTATCAAAGAATTTGATTCTCTCTTAAAGAAAATATTTATACATTTTTATGGGTGCCAAAAGACAAATTTGAAGTTGTCCTGTATGCCAACTGAGCCCAAAGTTGTTTGAGGCCTACTCAGAGTCTGATATATGGATTGATGTTTCTCTTACTTCCTGAATGTAAAATAAAGGTTCTAAAACACTGAATGTGTGTAATACACCTAAAAAGAGATTCTCTAAGCAGTACTGTATTTAATGTTTTAGAATAAGTATTTGTTGTGTTAAGTATGTACCTGTAAAGAAGGTTCTTGGAGTGAAATTCTAGTCTCTGGAACTGATCAGTTTAAAAGTTGGGTTTTACCTGAATGTTTTTTGAAGTATTAGCATCCAAAACTAAAAATAATAGTCCTCCATTATATTACATATTTTTGTGATACAGTGGACCTTTTACCAGAATGTATTTAATGATTCAGTGTTGAAGATGAGCTTCTATAAGGGGTGTGTAAAATTTGCCCCCTTTTGCACCTATGGCCTCTCATGTTTACATACTTTTGCTGGTAAGGGCAGCAACTTTCCCCTTCCTGTTCCTTACATTCTTTTACTGTTATCTCCTTTCTGTCACCTTTATCTTTTTCCTATACCCTCCTTTAGAAGATTAGAACTAGAAAAAGAACCGTGGGATATGTTTCAAGAAAAATAGTCAAGAAGTTGTGTAAATCATTCTTCATTCCCCATTCCAGTTACAAAGGTGTTATTCAGATTTTTACAAAATAGAATATTTCATTTGGAAGAAACCTACAACTATTGCCTAATTGAACTGCCTGACCAGTTCAGGTCTGGCCAAAAGTTAAAGCGTGTTCTTTGGTGTAGTGTCCAAATACCTCTTAAACATTGAGAGTTTTAGGGCCTCAGCCTCCTCTCTAGGGAGTTTGTTCCTGTGTTTGGCCACCATCTCGGGAAAAAAGTGCTTCCTAATGTCCAGTCTAAACCTTCCCTGGCACAGCTTTGAACTGCTCCCAGGCACCCTATCACTGGATACCAGGGAGAAGAGCTCAGCACCTCCCTCTGCATTTCCTCTCCTCAGGAAGCAGTGGAAAGCAGTGAGGTTGCTCTTCAGCCTCCTTTCCTCCAAACTAGACAAACCCAGAATCCAGCTAATTGAATTTGATACACAATGTGATTTGTTGCCCTTAGACCTTGCAAATCATGAAGTTATGTATGTGATTGTGTGTTTTCTAGGCAGAAACTTCATTTTTTAGAATTTCTTAAAACAGAAGGAATATGAAAGGAATGGAATTCATTATTATTACAGTCTCTGTAGGCTTTTTCAAATCCTGTTTTCTTTTAAACAATTGTGCTAAATAGAAGAATTTTAGAAACATTTTTTTTGCCCTCAAAGGACTATACTGTTAAATATATTTCTGACTGGCAGTCACATTTATGTAATAATGTGTGATGTAGCCATGATTCTCAAACTTGGTATTTTTCAGATTCGAGGCCAAATATGGCACTTAGACACTATGAAGCACACGAGATTTTTGAGAGTTATTGCTGAGCAGGTATATGAACTCAGGAATGGAAGTAGTAAGAATTTTTGCAGTGAGGTTTTGCAACAAACAACATAGAACACAGCTCACTTCAACATGGCCTGGCCCTGCTTTGGGTCTGTCACACAACTCAAGTTGCTTATTGTTTTTCCAAGCAGCAACAGCAGAACAAAACTGTCCTAACAGTGAATTATGGTATTTTTGGTGCATTTTCAAAAGTTTTATCCCTGAAAGAACATTTGATTTGTAACTTTTTTATTTTTATAGACTTCTCTTCTCTAATAGATTGGTCTCATGCTGAAGTAACTTTTTGTGCTGGGTACCATAAGCCTGTCTGAAAGTCTGTGCAGAAGTTAGGGAGTCAGCACATTCCTGGTGCTGAGGTACATGGAAATGGACTTAACACTTAGACAAACTTATGATTGTTCTTTTAAGTTTGAGGTGGTTCCTCTTCAGATGCAATTATGCTTTATATCAGATATCTCCAGGAAAAAAAAATAGTATTTTTAAATATTGGGCCAGAACACTAGGGGTTTTAAACATAAACCTGAAAGTGATTCTGTAAGATATTGTGTACAATTACAGTACAGACAGTTTTGGGTTACATATAAAAGGTTAAAACTACATACAGTTATGTGCCAGTACTAATATGTGAATAATTCTGTTACAGAAAAATGCCCTTGGTGGTGATGACCTATTAGAATCCAGGGTGATGGACCAAAGGGACCAAAGGTAACTGATTTCAAGTGATAAGTTGGAGTGCTACAATGGATTTGAATGCTCATAGAAGTGTAAATATCCAGGTAAACTGGGTCTTATGTACAAATGTTCAAAGGTCTGAGAACTTATGAGTGGAGTCTGTAGAGGTGTTACCGTAGCAGTTGTGTTTAGATAGTAGTGTATTTATTCAGGAAATTAAATTACTGACTTTGCTTCCACAATCTTGAACATAAAGGATGAGAGATGAATGAAGGAATTCTCTACTCTGAATCTTAAGATAATAAACAAAAGTTCTGGTAGGATTGCACTGATCCAGGTAACCCAGGTAACTGCTGTCTGTTGAGGTCAGGTGGATGTTTTTAGAAAAGTTTATTTGACAGTCTTAGACTAACAGTTGCCCATCAGGAAATGGTTTCATAATCACTGTAATTTCATGTTACAAAAATAACCTAGCCTTTCTTGTTAGCTTTTAAGGCATTATTACTCTAGACAAATATAGAATTTTCAGAGAATTACTTTCAATTATGAAAATATTAGGAAGGAAAAAGTATAGAAGTAGAATTACAGTATTTTACATTGTCTTATAGGCTACCTTACTGTTGTATGTGAAAACAGCAATAAAGTCTAGTCTTTTAACATTTGGAATTCTATGTATGAAATATTAATGTTGTATTAATGGTCATTTATAGTGTCTCATGTTCTAGTTCTGTAATAGAGAACTCATGCTGTTAATGATCATAGTTTAAATGTAGTAATTAAATTTGTTCATTAGATTCTGGGGAATGTCAAGCTTGGAACTCAAGAAAAGTGACTGTTCCATTCTGGTCTCTAGATTAAGAATTCTTTAAAAATAGTTAATTATCAGAATGTTTCAGCATTTACAAAACTTATCCTAAGCATGTTTTTCAACTTTTTAGCGTGTCAACTCTAGTCACAGAGTATGATAAACACTTGGAGGAAATGAAAGAACAGCTGCAGCTTTATCAGGTATGGACATTCCTAACATTGCACTGTGATTCCTAACATTTCAGACTGTGTATTGTTGGTGGTCTTAATATCTAGGCCACTTTGTCATACTCCACAAACCTGCTGGACTGCAGTCTGCCTCAAGCAGATGAATGGAGAGCTTTCTGTGAAAAGATTGGGACATTGTCCACATTGCAACAGTTTACTGTTTGGAGAAGCAATGTTGTGAAATGAAACATGCACACTTTATTTCTCTAGATGCTCTGATATGGTTGCAGGCATATTTCTAGGTAACATTGAGAGAAGGTAGCTGTTTCCCTCTTTCCTTTCAGGTCTGATCTGATGCAGTCCAACTCAGTCCTGCAAGTATAGAATACACCCAGCCTTCTTCATTTTTGTTAATTCTTCAGATTCAAATATTTCTTTAAATGTGTATTATCATGGAGACTGAAGTGGAAGGGAACTGTCCTCCATTCTGTCACAGAAAATGAAACTTTTTAATGCTTTGTAACATGACTGAAAAATGAAGTGATATGTTTAAAACCTGTGACATATAGAAAGCAATTTTTTACTTGTGATCTACATGCAGAAATTATACAGTGGTTTTGGTTTAACGCACTGAATTTGTTTGATCTGTCCATCATAAAGATTTTGCAAATAAAGTCTTCAAGCTTGGCTGATTTCAGAAGGCAGCAGAAGCAATAAGGTTTTGTTGCACTAGTTAACAGAACAGCCAGTTTGATTAACGTAACTGAAGTTTCTCCTCAGTTTCCTAAACTTTTGTCAAATGCTTATGGCATGAAAGATGAGAGGTATCCACTGTGCCCCTAAAAGATCTTGAATTAATTAAAAATCAAACTGTAAGACTGATAAGAATTTCAAAAGGTTAAGTTTAATGCCTGGAGTAACATCTGAATGTTGAGGTATAACAGGACTTTGCAGCTGTTAAATTTAAGTGGCATCCCTTAAAAAAGAAATTGACTTTAATTTACTGTATTATGCTGAATTAAGTTGTCCATCTTTTACAGTATCACTCAGAAATAAAAGATGAAAGAATTACCAGAGTTTGTGTAACTGAAATGAATGCTTACTCTTGTATGTGTTGGTGTCAGGTACAAATGAGCGAGATGAGGCTAAAATTGGAAGAAGTCACCAAGGAAAATGAAAGGTAAATAATTGCCCTTCCGTGTTACTACTGCTCTTTTTCTTGATTTCTGAACATTTAAAAGCCTTTTTTCTAGAACCTTGAAATCTTTGAAATCTTCAACTACTAAGTAGATTCAGGATCTTAATGTTAGAGTCTTAAAATGCTTAATACAGATTACAGCACCAGGTATAGGAGATTTAACCATATCACTAGAAGAACTAGATATGAAACTATTTCAAACTGTCTTTTGTGTTTATAGAACATAACTTAATAGATTTAAATTTGACTAAGAAGTAATATGTACAGATGGAAGGTACAGTATATTTCAGTTGTTAAAAAAATACTTGTTAAAGAAATACTTTCCTGAACTTAGTTCTTTGAATTTCAGGCTGCACGCAGAGTTGAAAGAGGTTCTTGAGAAGCAACTGGAGGCTTTTCCTCCAGATATTCCTTCAGATGAGGGCGTAGTGAGAAACCTTCAAGAACAACTACGACTGGCAAAGCAAGTGTGTGAGATGACAGATTTATACTGTTTTATTTCTCTTGTTGTGCCTTCACAGATTAGGGAAAACTGTTTTATTTCTTGATTCAGAATTCATTTTTTCAGAGTTCTTGGAAACTGTTTCAAGGCCCTCTTGACATGGAATTTAAAGACCTGAAGGAACTTCTTTCCTAGATTCATAGAAGAATTTTTTAATGTTAATTTGTGCCAGCAATTTTATCTAGTTGATTTGATCTGTATGTTGAATTCATGATGAGCAACTTAATGACATGTTTTTTTCAATTCACGTTTTTTTAGTAGTTTGTCATTTTAATCAAAACCACTATAATGTGCTATGAGGAGACCAAGTATATGTGGGATATAGAAAATAATATTTAAATCTGAAAATACAATCAAATTTTGTTCAAGTTATTCCAACGATCTGTCAATCCGGTTGTGTATGATTAAGTTGAAGTTAATTTGATAGCTGAATTTGGTATTTGAATATTATCTATACTGTAGGTCTACCTTAAAACCTGTGAAAGTTTGAGCTCTTCAAAAAAAAAAGCAGAGAACTTGTGATTCACTTGTAAGTGGAATTTGAAATCCTAAGCATGTTTTTCTGCATCTGAATTTGCTCTGTGTATTTAAAATGCGAGCAGAGAAAAGTATAGGTAGCGGCATTTCTTCAAAATAGGAGTTCTCTCTTTTTAGAGAATGATAGATGAAGATAAATATGCTATAATAGAATATTTTTACAAGGTATTGTTCTGTAACTTAGGAAAAAGAACAAGCAGTTGAGCTCTGGCAGACATTGTTACAGGAACACGATCGACTTCAGCAGCAGTACCAGGAACGCCTGACTGAAACGCAGATTCACGTAACTGAAAGGAAAAGGCAGAATGTAATTTTAATTTATATTTTTGTTAATTTTGGTATGTCTTCCTATACTGTAGAGATTCTGCATCTATGTGTAGTCAAACTGAAGTGGGTAGGTTCTGACAGTACTGTTATGACTTGGTTATTGAAATTATTAGAGATGCCTCTGCCTGAATTAGGGTACAAATGAGACCAGATGTCCAAGTCAGTGGTATGGGTTTTATTTAATGGTAAATGTGAGACAGAGAGAGAGAAAGAAATAGGAAAAGGAGTTGGGGGAAGAAAGAAAATGACAGAGATTAAAATAGAAAATGTATCACTACTCCGTGTAAACTGTCGGTGTCCTGTCAGTGCAGTTCTTCTGGTCTTCTTGGTGGTGAGGGTCCCATAAAACACAGAGTCCAGTGGATTAATATATGTTCAGGAGATGCCAGGCACCTCCCCTGGGGGTGGGGGGGGAGCTTTGCAATCTCTTGCCACAGGCTCTGAGTTTGTTGCCTCACTTGGATCACATGCAGTCCTTTAGTGGGGGAAGGCCTCAGGAATGAGTTGTGGGGGCGCTTTGGGGGTCTGATAGTTTATGACCTCTTCTCAGCTGCCTCTCACGTGAATGTCCCATGTGTACGTGATTTTCCCAGGGTGGGGGGTGGTGGTTACTCCTTTGGTTTGAAGTGGAGAGATTTAAGAAAGCACCATCACACACCCAAACCCCTTCTCCTCCACCAGCTCCTGAGCCTTGTTTATTTCTCCTCAGACCTGAGATGATTAGACAGTAGTCTTACCTCAAATCCCCAGTCACAGTCCAAAGTCCAGTCAGGTCTCAAACAGGCAGTTGCTTCTTTGTTTGGCAAAAAGTCTTTCTGTGATTTTGACAATGCTTAAGACATTACTGACATTTCAGTCCATCATGAGTACTGTTAACTATTTTCCATAATAGTCATCTAAAGTTGAGTGGTCAGATGTGGTCACTGATTCATCAACTAAATGCACCATTATGATTGGAAAAGTTCTTTATTCCAAAAACATGGGCAGAAACCTTGGGGAATGCACTGAGACTGAGTACATATATATGTATATGTATATATGCACAAGATATGCATGTGCATATAAATACTTATGTATTTGAACTGCGTGGTTGGAAATCTTTAGTAGAGTAAAACATCTGAAAAAGTTTCCAGAGATTTCTAAGTCTGAAGTGAAAGTCTTTCATCTGTTCTCCTGTGTTTGAATAGTGGGAGAAGTAGTTTCCATTCCCTGTTGTTATTCAGTAAGGAAGCATTTGTAAACAGATGAAAAATGAAGTTGACCAGTATTTGTCTAATGTTAGCTTGTTTCTCTTCTGCTGTGTCTGGGAAGGGCTTTCGGGAAATCTTAGAAAAGCTCTTCTGCTCTGATGAGCTATATAAAGATGCTCAGTGTGTGAAGAACTAATAGAAACTTTATGCCTGTGTGTACCTTGCTACATGTATTTCTATGTCTGTAAAGAGAAGCTACAAATTTTTAGTATTTCCATTCTATTTTCAAGTGCACTTGATTTAAGGGCACAGTTACCTCAGAAATTTTTTTTTACAGATTTGGGGGTTTTTTTTCATATTAAGTTCACCTTAGCAATGTGATCTTTTCTGAGAAACAGGATAAATATCCGTATAGCTATTGAGCTCTGTCAAGTTTCATAATTATTTCAAGGAATGAGGACTCTTATCTTTGTGTAGTTCCATCTTTCTGCTCTTATTTCTTCTATTAAGTTATTTCTTGTGTTGTATTGTTAGTTACTGGTAACTCACATAGTAGATTGTAGAGATCCATTGGTAGCTGTTGAAGGGTTTACGGCTGTCAGATTCCACTTTTCCTTAGTAACTAAATTTTTGGTGGATTTTAGTGCCATTGGAACAAGAGTGAGGTTAATCAGCCTTTTATTCTTAAATGCTATTGGTCACCCAGCGAAAACACTTTTTAGTTAAATAAACTTTTATTTTAGGGTTGCTTTTATAAAATAGCTGTCAGAGGTAAATAGAAATAGTTAAGACCAACTAGAACTGGAATTGACAAAAAGCAAAGAGAGGATATCATAAGGATTGGATACAGTAGGCAAGCGAGTTGCAGGAATAGGGTTCTGGCCTTGAGACTGTTAGATGAATGCAGCACAATTAATAGATATTTCAGCTGAGGGGCTTTAGTCCTCTCTATGCTCTGAAGGCACTTGGCATGCTGCAGATGATTTTTCTGTGTTACGCTAGTTTTCCTAGGATGACAGATTTCACATTCAGGAACTCAAGCTTGATTGAGCCATTTTTTCTGTGGACTCAAGACATCCTATATGGCAAAGAGCAAATTAAACATGTCTGTACAAGCATTTTTTTAATTAAGGGGTACATGTTTGTTACTGTGCTTAGCAAAAATGCTTGTAGTAGCATCATAGTTTGTGTGGCTCTTTATAGACACTGCTGATGTGTGCTTTCATATTTTGAGAGTAAGTGTGTTATGAGTTTTGGAAGGAGACAGTTTGCAACTGAGTGACAATTAGATACATTGTTCAGTAGTATATCTAGTTTTCTGAATTATGAGGTCAACAGCTAAAAGCAATCTAATTAAAATCTACAAAGGCATACTGAATTTCCTGCTACATGTAGAGTTTTTTTTGAAAATATTTTCAGTTGACTATGAAATTTTCTAATTATTTACTTTTTATTATTATGATGATTATAAGAAGCTTTGAATTCTTGTTTTAGGATCAACTCACTAGCTTTCAGCAGTTGACTCGGCAACTACACATAGCCAATGAGAAAATAGAGTTGGTAAGTAAAACCTTCTGAACAGTGAGCTAGTAATTTTTTTTTTTCCTCAGAGTATAAAACAAAAGCAAAAAGGCCTTCGTAAATATCTGGTTGAAAAAGAAATTGTGCCACTCAAATTTGCAAACTTCTCCAGGGACCAGACAAAAATCAATTAGTGATGGCTTTATTCCTAAACTCCAAACACCACGTCAACGTAGTTGAGAGGTTAGCTTTTAATATATGTGAGCTCTTTCTTCTAGAATTCAGTGGTAAGCTTACACTCAGAATTATAGTATGTGGTTAGTGTACTTCAATTACATATTCAAAACCATCTTCACAAAGGAAAAATTTATTTAAATGATGCCCTCTCTCATATGCTACTATTTTGGTACTGTTGACTTCAGTGTCTTTGTCTTGACATTTTTGCACATTTTTCTGAGCTCTAATAATCTTCCAGTGCTTTTTCCACAGCCTTAGACTGTGAGACTTCTTAGTTGCTAAGCTTTAGCCTAGGACTTCCAGAATTGACAGTTTTAGTATTGTAGAAAAAGTGTAGAGAAAGATGGAGTGAAGCTTTTGACTGAATGGCTTTGTCTTCAAAAGACATGATTCTTGTGTGATTTTTTTTTTTAATGTTTGTTTTGAATATTGTCAATGCAAAAAGGCTCCTGACTTACTCTTAACAGTCTAGTCTCTTTTGTCTTTATCAACGAGACTTTTTTCCCTCACTTATGACCTCATGTTAAAATCTAAGCTTGTTTCTTTGGTGTGAAACATTGTAGGTAGGAAGGAAAGATTACTGCAAGCTTTGTCATGATGCCTCTGTTACAGAAAACTTGTATATTGCCTCTTTTTCCTTTCCCTGGGTTTTGTGTTCTGTCAAGAGCAAGTCAAGTCTCTGAATGTTATTTGACAATGTTTTTAAGATACCTAATCATTCTTCTTGCTGACGTCTGAATTGTTTCCAATTGTGCCATCATTCTTCAACTGTGGTGCTGGAAACAGTACACTACTCCAAAAGAGGAAGTTTTGCCTTATGTAGTCAGTGATTTTCTCAAAATTAACTATTGTCTAAAGATAGATACCTTAGAGTTACTGGGGGTTGCTGTCTGAAAACAGTCTCAAATAAATACAATGATGTGCTCTAAAGCAGTTTTGCTGAGGATTTGGATATTAACAACTGTTTGATCTGTTGTTACAACCAAATCAGTAGTAGCTACCTTAAAAAAAAAGACTCACTGTATGCTTAAAAGCATAGAGTTGGAAAGAAATGATGTTGAGAGAAAAGTTAAACTAAAGAGTTAAACTAATTGAAAGAGATGAAACAGACAATATTTAAGACAAAGGGAATCTGTTTGTTTGCATTATCCAATAACATTTGGCACCATCTGTTACCAAAGGCATGTCATGGGATAAAGCAGCATGCCCTTTTTTTCAACTAACAAACTGAAAAATAGAAAGTGAAGAGACAGAGTAATTAATCAGGTTTTTTATTGTGATAAACCAGCTGTGTTTCCTAGATGTGCTCAGGTTGGAGCTGTTCAGTATATTTATGTGTGTTGTAGAAATGAGATTCAGTATTAAGGCAACAGTGTTCGCTGCTGATGTTAAAATATTTAGAGTAGTGAAAACTGAAGTAAACTGCAGAAATTTGTAGAAAGATCTCGTGATGTTGATTATCTGATGTAATTTTATCAGACATTTTATTGGTATCATAAAACCAAAGTAATACATATAGGCAAGAGGGGGCTTTCACTTTGGGTATTCCATGATGGTCTTGAAATTAACTTACCATTCAGAACAGGTATTTTAGAAGTAGGAAGTATTTGAAAAAAATTCTTAGGAACAGTCAAAAAAGCAAGAAGAATATTAGCAATTAATAGGAGAGGGGAGGAAAAGGGGAATATTGTGCATTTTGAATGCTGCCTGCCATTACAGTCATCTTTAATATCTCAATGTAAAGATATATGTAAGCTCTAGAAAAGGCTAGTAGGCTAACAAAAATATGAAATGATTCTCAAATGGGAAGACAGTTGAAGGAGAATGACACCTCCAGCACTATGGCTTGCATACAAAAGAATGAAGGAGGAGCAATTGCTCATTGTTCCTTGTCCCTAAAACACAGGAATTTTTTGCAGCGTTTGTGGTCTTCTGTGGTACTAAGTGTCACAAGGGATTCTAGGCACCTAAACTACATGGAAGTGCAGATGACAGGTCTGAGCTACTACAATTTTTGTCTCGTGAAGTTGTTCTATTACCAAAATATGGACAAAGAAGGGAAGGAACATCACTCTGCTTTTGCCTTTCTAAAATACTCTACACAAACCTTGGCACTTGAAGACCAGCCATAGTGTTAAATAGACCTTATTGGCTATTTTTATTATACAATTTTCTGTAGAAATGTCCTATAAAAATCCTGAATACATAACATTTTCAATACTATAAGGAACATGTTACAAATATCTCCTTATTTTGCAGACCAATCAACAGTTTCTGAGAACTGTGACAGAACAGAATGTGGAACTAGAGCAGCTACGACAAAAACTGAGGTATAAACCAGGCAATTAAAAACATATTTAATATCTTTTCTATAGCTTTTCCTAGCCTGCTGCTCTATCATGGGCCTTGTTTGTACTGCAGGCTAATTTCATTCTAATAGTTACAATGATTCCAGTTAATGCCTCTGAAGCTTGTTAGACATGTGTACATCATTAGTGTTAGGGTAATGCATTTCCAGTTAGTGTTGTTTGGTTCAGCTTTTCCCTGAAATATTCAAGATTTGACCTTTGATTTAAAAGGAACAAAGTGTCAGTATCACAGCACAGTTGACTCTGAAGATAGGTTTTCATTACAATACAGTTTGCTCAAAATCCAATTACATGGTTGCTCATTACAGTTCTGAAATTTGAACGTTCAAACAAGCTTCAAGTTTTAAAGCTTTTAGTAAAATTTGCATTAATTTATCAGTAAAGAGCCCTAAACCATAGGTTCTATGGAATTTAGAGGTAAGAATACTGTTAATTACATTCCTGGAGTATATCAAGGAAAATGTGGAACAATATCTGTGACACAGTTTCATGATTATTTGTGTTTACAGCCAAAATCTATTCAATGCCATTTTACTATGTCTGTTCTTTCTTTAAATTAGTGATGTTTGAGGTCAACATCCAAATTTAATTTCAGTATAGTCGATTTATGGACTGAGAATAGAAAAAGAAATGGAGTCATTATCCAATGGTTTATTTTCTTTTATAGCATTACCTAAAGCATTAAATAAGCTTTTTAAAATGAAATTTTAAATTTATAAACTTAAAATGTATAATGTACTTAAACTTTGTTTTAAACATTGTTTATTTTTATGTTTCCTTTGTACAACACCTTTATGACCAGAATCTGGTTACAAATGCTGATTTACTTCATTCACTGAAGATGAGTTTTTATGCGGGATTTACTTGTTAGCACCTCTCATTTTTATTATCCAAGATTTTTCCATGGAGAAACTATTTTCCAGAGTAGTGTGTTTTGAAGAAGGAAAATGCTGTGATAAGCAATCCAAGACTAATGGGGTACACAGTGTATCTAGTAAAATAATATGTTTCCAAACTCAATCATCTCTTGCAATTTGTTTGTGTGTGTCACTGTTTAATTCTTCAAGGGAATGAACACTATTGCCATGCCTCTATTTTTTTAAATTTCTTTCCTTGCAGAACATACAAATACTGTTTTGGCATCTCATTAATCTATAAATCTTTGGTCTTGCATTGATATGCTTACATATCACTAATTACTCATGTAATTAGTGAGGACAAAAGCAATTACCATTCACTGAACCCATTTTAGACATCCAGTAAATTCTATCAAGATTTAGTTTATTTATGCATTTCTACCACTCAATGGTTTTGATCAAAAACAAAACAGCAAAAAACCAACAACCAAAAACAAACCAACAAAAACTTTAAAACCATTCAGGTTATGGTTGAGCAGTTGAGTGTTTTTGTCAGAATTACTGATAATCATGATTTCCTTTGGTCTCGTCTCTGTTTCATTTTTAAAAGGGAGCCCCTTTTTAAGCCCCTTTTTCGATCCTTGGGCTTACCTGACATTCTTTAATGATACCACTTTGATCAAATAATTTAGAATAGGGCATGACAACCAAAATGGCCAAACTCTTTGATTCACAGTTATTAAAACACACAAGGATTTGTAAGACTGTCTATTCTACTCTCTAGAAGAGAGTAGAAGGGAGAAGTGTATGTTTTTTGCTTATACTACAGCTTCAGGAAGAAGGTATATTATAAGGTGACTTACTGAAAGCTGGTGGATTATCTTGCTCTGAACTTCTATTCCCACATGCCCAAATATGTATGTGTATTTTTCATTAGTTGCTGTTTTATAACTAGTGAAATTGTGAGTTAATTTACCCTTTCATTTGAACATCCACAGGGCTGGATTAGTCATTGTCCTCACTTCAGAATGTTAGGTTTCTGATTTAATATGTTCCAGATGGACAAGACTGCTCAACACATTTGTCTTGAGTGTTTTTGTAACTGTTTAGTTTGTCTGGTGATGATCATGAGCAACCTTTGAAATTTTTACTTCCCAATAGTATTTTCAGTTTGGGTAAAGAGGCTCCCAGATGAACTTTGCTTCTCTAATTACGGGCACTGATTACACTATATTCCTCTCAGTTCAGCTAGAAGTCCTTGCAACCCTAAAAACAGTACTATGTCTTACTCCCAGAGTTAATGACAGCAGCTCTACCTACCCCTAAAGTAAGTGCTGCAGTGGTTCTCCAAGAAGTCTGGAATGTTTTCACTGGTTGCTTCTCTAACATGAAGTTACACAGACATAGGTCGCATGGATTATGTAGCATCTAGCACAGACAATTCTAATCCTTTGGGATATTTTTAATAGATGTACATGATTTATGGTGATTGAGTAGTAAGTCTGGAATGGAAAAAGAGATTTTAAAAAAACAACTTGTGTATTAGAGAATTAAGGTTTGACTTAGGTTTGTGTGGACTAGACAAAACACACAAACTCAGGAACTTGGCATTACTAGGGCATGTATCCGCATTTCAGAATCTTAAAGCTTGTAAACAGAGATAACTTGCCAAGATTATGTTAAAGATGCACTGTACAGTAAAAAATAAAAGCTGCATCTTTGAAATCAGTTTGTTGCCTGTAAAATTTACACCTCTGCGTTTGATCTGAATTTGGTCATTAAAATGCATTTTTAATACTTAAGCAGTTCTCATTTTTATGGCCTTTTTATGTTTTTCTTATTTTTCCCTTCTTATGCTGCCTTTTGAGTTTTTATTTTGTTTTACAACACCTTTTAAATATTTTGGGGGGAGCAATTTAATGACCTCCTGAATTTAACAGTACTTTTGTAGGAGAAAGATGCGTGATTCAGATGGACTAAGATCAAAGTTCTGAACCTGCAACGAAGACCTGTGTTTGGGAATAATGTTTTTATTGTAGTTTTTTCTCTTTAAAAAAATTGTAATCAATTTAACTTTCCCAATTAATTAGCCTGAAATAAAGCATTCACTGTAAAATTGCTTGGATTATGTATACTTTGCTTAAGGTTTTCATGTAGGTATAATATGCTTGTCTTTTATGCTGTTAATTCAAAAATTTTATTTCTATAAGAAATTCTTGCTTGAAGTTGATTGTTAAAAGTATTAAGTAGTTTCTAGCTTCTTTCAAGACTATTAATGCTCCAGTTTGCGTTAGCTAATCTAATATGTTTGCTCTCTTTTAACTTTGTCAACAGTCAGTCACTGGTCTTTAGATTTAGCCTAATATGCAGCCTGAATAATTGGGTTACGCTCAAGGTGAAGGGCAAGTCAGAAGAGTAAGAGGATTGCTGATTTCAATAGGCTTTTTTACTGAGGATGAAGAACCACTAGTCATCATTAACTTGATTCATTAACTGGTTTATTTTTTTCCTCTTTCAGCTCGTAAAAACTATTCAAATTACAAAGCATATAATTTAAATTCTTTAGAAGTGTTTAATGATTTTTTTTTTTAATTCCTAGTCCTATTACTTTAAAAAGTCAAATCTAATTCTGTAAAAGGCTTCTCTGTTAGGTATCTGTGGTTAATTATACTTAAGCTTTTGAATCACCTAAAGTTTTTGATTGCCTAGTCCTTCCAAATATTTAATCAATGCATACAGCTTCCTTTTAAGCTGACTTTGAGAATTCATTTCCACAGGACTTTGGAATTTGGTATTGCTCTCTCACTGTACCACATAGTAAGAAGGAAAAGGGGGAAACCTCTTCTGCCTTGTAAGAACAGCATTATGAAATCTGACTGCCCTTCACAGCTATTTCAACAAAGTTGTAATGGAGCCATTTTTTTCGTCTATAATAATTGTTTTCTTTATATACAGGCAAGCCAAAATAGATGGGCAGGCAACAAATGCTAAGCTTCAGGAAATGACCAAATTGAGAGAGAAGCTTCACAGCCAATTGGAGAGAAAGGTATTCTAGAGAAAGGAATAATTTCTGTTGCAACTGAATGGCCAGTCAGTTTCTGAATGCTGATGTTAAATTATTTGCAAGTTTTTATTTAGCTTGTTTTATGTGAGTATATCTTTATTTTGTTCAGGGAAGCTCAGATCCTGTCATGGAGAATACATTTATTCTTTCTAGGAAGAAGACATGATATCTGCTCAGGAAAGAGAAACAGCATCTGACAAACGCTTGCAGCAAATGCAATCTAGTTTAAAACAATTAGAAACCAGGTAAAGATAACTCATTGGGTGTTATTAACAGGATACTTGCAAAAATTATGCCTTGATTCTGCAAAAATAGAGTGGTTGTTTTATGACAAACACGTTAGAAGGTAACAAAGCACTGCTGCTTGGGAAGGCAGCCCGAGTGTTGCTGAAGTGCTCGCTGTGGATATTTAGAGCTGTGCTCTTCATTGAACCAGCAGCACTTGTGAACTTCAAGATTTTTTTGAGGATCACTCTGAGGCTCTCTTGCCCTTTCTCATGCCTACCAGTACAATCATAATTAAACAATAGGAATTTCTGAGCTGTTGTTTTTTTCTTCTAATAGTATAGCTGCAAATTCATTGCCCACATCAAATTATTCCGTTTCCTCCACAGAGGAAAACTTTATTTCTTTTGGAGCTCTTCTATTCTGGTTTAATATAGAACATTTTCAGAGATGTATCCCAGGACAGCAACATTCTTCTGAAATAGATATCTGAGTTAATTCCTTTAATTCTGTTTGTTTCTAGGACTTGATTAATGTCAAACTCAAAACCAATGCAGTTTTGGTAGCTCATGAATAGATGCTTCCTATTAGTTCAGTCTGAACGAATTAGTGTCTTAATTAGCCATGTTATTGTTAAATGAGTAAAATTACTACTGTCTTATAGATTACTTGTTACTGTCCAAGATGCTGAACAGCTGAGAATAGAAAGAGCAGTCCTGGAGGAACAAATCAGAGAGCTTCAGGCCAAGGCTGCTAATCTAGAAAGTGAGAAGTATGATGCTGTTGTAAAAGTCCAAGACTGCATACAGCTCTTGGAAGAAGCTAACTTGGCAAAAAGTCAGGTAAGTCATTGGATAAAGGTATTTCTTAGAAATTAGAATACTTTCATCACTTACTGTTGTGAAGAGCCTGATTGCATATTCTCACAGGCATATATGCATGCACAAGCTGGCTTCCTTTATGTCTGTTGTACTAAAATTAGTAATGCATAGATAGCAAACTGGGATATGACATTACTTAGGCTTGTCATAGAGTATAAATTTCAAACAATATGTTGAGTGCCTGGATAAATGTGATCTAAGTGATAATACTGTACCTGAACATGAATTTTCTAAAATTTTTGACAGAGTTTCTTATCACACATATACAAACAAATTCTTCTGTCAGACTGAAAAGGAAGGTTCTGTTATGAATTTATCACTTAAAAATGGCTAGGAAAGAACAGCTAAACTAAAGGGACTTTTTTGTTCTATGAGGGACATAAGGCACCGAGAGAGAGAGATCTGTGTTCAGAAATCTTAAAAAGTGACTGAGTAATGAGTGGGTAAAGTCTGCAGTCAGGAAAAATTTGAAAATATGTTTATTAGTCTATTACAAAATGGCAGAAAAAATTCAAACATACCATATTGGCTACTGAGTTTAGTCTTACCAGTCAAAAACCGATTTAGGAGATAGTGTGGATCTCTCTTAAGAACACATTCACACAATCCTCAGTGGTGCTCGATACAATTAATAGGATGTTCATAATGGGAGTTTAAAAATAAAAAAAGGCCTTTAAACATAATGCCCCTTCATGTGCAGTTTAGATCAGTCCATTTCAGACAAGACATAGGAAAACTAGGAAAGTGCAGGAGGAGTCAACAAAGAAATCTAGATATGTGGAAAGGCCTTAAAAGAAATTTTTATATACAATGTGTGATTAAACTGTCATAGGTTGATGTGTATACCAGAAGTATAGATATGAAAACAGTAACATGCACAACAGGGCGATCCACCAAAACTTCCTAAAGTACAGGACCTAATCCAGCAAGTCTTGATAAGCCTGTTGATCAAAAAAAATTAGACCCCCTATTTTCACAGTTCTTAACTTTTTCCTAAAGTATCTGCTCTTTGCCCCTTTAGAAAATAGGATATAGGGCTTGGTAAACTCTTGTCTGATATGGGCTCTTTGTGTTTTAATGCTAAGCTTCAGTTCCAGTCAGACTTTTGGAAAATTGTGCCTGGTTCTGAGGCAGAACTTTAATGCCCATCCAGAGATTGTAGCCATCAGCAGGTGAAACCCAGTTTAGTCTGTGGGAATAAGCACAGGATCTTAGAATTGATTCTGTTTCAGCTTAACAGTTCAACACTGTTGAGCAGTTAAAAAGATAAACACTTCCTTTTAGCCTGGAGTTGCTCTTCAAACTCAGAGACCAAACAAAGCAGACAATTCTTAATTTAGCGCTCTGGCTAAAACATCCTGAATTTATCAAACTGGGAAGTCTATTAATGAACAAGATAAAAAAAAATGCACATAGCTGTGAATGCTTTGTGTTATAAACTGTTTTCTTCCTGCTCTGTTAGGGGTTGTCTTGGGTTAAAGACAATGTTACTGAGGAGGTGGGACCTTCAATAGAAGGTCCTACATCCCATCCATTAAAAATAAATAATGGGACTTACGAGGAAGGAGTACAAACAAAGTAACAAATTTTACTAACAAAAAAGGGCAAAACCAAAATAAAACAACAAACACACAATAATAAAGAATAGCACCCAGAAACTCACTCTGTCCACTTCGGTGTTGCTGAGCCAGCAAAGAAGTTTCACGTGGCCCCTGCAGCACTGTCACACAGAAAGCAACACTAACGGCAACAGCAGCGGCCGGGAGAGCTCCGACAGGCAGCTCCGGTGCTGGAGCGGTGGGGACTGGAGGGCGCAGAGCGGGCTGGGACCAGTGGGAAGTGCAGAACGACAGGGGGCGGGGGAGCCCCTGCGGGAAATATCCCTCTCTTTAAATTTAGAAAGACGGCAATAAACTTAGGGAACAAAAACAAGGAAGAATTTATTCAACGCGTTGGATCTTTCTCGCCCCGCGTTTCCGGGGAAAAAGACACCTTCGGTGTAAATTCCATACATTTTATAGTTTCACAAAATCCCACCCTTTTCAGATAAGTTTCAATGTATTCATTTTTATCTAAAATGGTTGCTTTTCTCTGAAAAGGGGCTTTCCCTTTATCCCAATTGGCTGCAAGCCATCCCCTGTCAAAGGTGATGGATCTTTCTTCGTTCTTAGCCCAAAGAGAAGAAGAACCTCGTGGTACAAAATGGCCCTAAAAGATTTAATTTTTAAGAATTTTCCCATTTCCCTTATCCCGCCGAAAGTGGGTTTTATCCCCCACAAACTCCCATGCCACTTCAGGCGATAACCCCCTCTTCAGCAGGTGTGCCGGGGCTGTGTGGGCAGGCCGGGGTGTTACCAGCGGGTGCCCCCTAATGGTGGCGTGGGAAAATTACAAGAGAATCTAAAACCGTAGCAGAGGTTAAGGTAGAAATTGTAATAATGCTGCTTCTGTTAACATTGAAAAGCACAGAAAGCTAAGCTTATAAAAGGACATCAGAAGAATTTTAAGCGTAGTTTGAGCAATAAAGAACAAAGTTGAATTATATAGGACCAGTAAAGGAGATTATGACCAATGGAATGGCATGTTATTGCCTGAAGTGAGTAACCTTCTACAGGCTTAGCTTATTTCATCCATTAGGGACTTTTTTATGTCTTTCTCCCTTTGTGCATATACACATTCTCTGTGTGTCACCTAGGATTCTTGATAGGTGACATAAAAAATCCTATATTCTGTAATCTTTTCAGACCAGTATCTCGTGTTATACTGTAACATCAGTAACTTTCTTGCATCCCTCAGAGGAAAGGTTCCTTGCTACACTTTTTTCTGTAATTCTCCCAATTTTTTTTTTATACTAAAGAGCTGTTTCGTTCACATGAAAGGATCTGCATACCTGTTCCTTAGTTGCCTATACATTTTTATTCCTTTACTTTTAGTTTTCTGGAGATGAGTAGTATATGAACCATAATAAATGCTTAGCTTTATGTAGGAGTGTATGTGTGTATACAGGTATTCAGTTTCCTAATAGAAAGCTTTTGCATGCATCATTGTCAGCATGTTTTTATTACAGATACTGGCACGAGATAGAACACTGGAAAGTAGCTTTGCCATTTGCTCTGAGTTCCTGTGCTTGCTTCTGTATAAATTCCATGCTCAGCCAAAACCTGCAAGTCCCAATAAAAAAAGGCACCTACTGATACTAACTCTTTGTGTGATTCTGATTTACAAGAATGTGCATTTAGTGCAACATGTTTTCACTGTTCTTGTTTTCTTGTTGAGTCTTGGTGTCAACTGCTCCAAAGTAAAAAGGAGAAAAAGTGTCCTTTGATCAGTGACTATATGTGGTTTCTTCTCTCTGTGCTATGTCGCACTAAAATATCAGTCATATTTAAATTTGTTATTTTTTTTTTTCTAGGCACTCCTTGGGGAGAAACAAAAGGAAGAGGAGATCAAAAAAATGAAAGATGAAATGTCTCAACTTGCAGAAGATACTGCTGCAAGAATTAGAAAGGCAGTAAGTTACGATGTTTAGAATGGGAAGATTTTTTGGTTTTCCTCAGGGTGAAAAGCTCTTGCTGGTACATGGTCATCATGAGCAGTTTTCTTAAAAATGTTTTGATAATATAAGTGACAAGGCAGCATGCTGATAGTACATACTCTTCAGCTTTGTTGTCTAGACATGTATTCCTTGAACTAAGTGGTATTCTTAAATCTCTCAAGAACCAAAACTGTTGATGGCTGTGCAGACACTGGTGTAGACAAGGCTGCACTGTGAAGATGTAAAGAATGATACTTGTGGTGTCTTCATGTGTGCTTTTTTTTCTCAACACCCTCAATTAAAGTAGTATTGATAATAATAATTCTTCTAACATTTATGTCATAAGATTTGTCAGTTACTGCAGTCCCAGATATTTTCATACGTGCACCACGTATAGGCTATATATGTGTATATCAAAAAGCAAGATGGAAAACTAGTTTGTGGGACTAATGTTTTGGTTTGACTTTGTTTTTACTCACAGGTAAATGCTGCAAAGCAGCAATGTAATGTGCAGGTTTCTCGGCTAGCAGAAGAAATTTCAGCTCTTCAGATGGTAAGGAGTTGACTGATAAAAACATTTTTGATAGCAAAACATTTGAGACTTCTAGTTATTGCTAATCAAATAAAATACTATATTCCAGTAAAAGAAAGCCTACTAACCTGATTAATGAGTAACTGTGTAAGGACAATATGATATTACTATAGAGCACAATGCATCCTGTATATTTCCAGACATTAGTTCACAAACATTTTGTCAATGAGATCTGTACTCTAGAAAATATTTTCTCTGTGATGGCATTTCTTAAGTATCCCTGTTTCTTTCAGGGATAAGCATAGAAAGCTGAGATTTGTATATCTATAGATGGGTATGTAGAAATTAAGTATATGAAAGCTGATAAAGTATCCTAAGACAAAGTCTGTGCATCACAATCATTGTATTCTTGAATGAACCAGGAATTCAATGCAGGTGACCGAAAGAACTCAGTGCTTAATGCGCCTATTTATGCATTAAATTTATTTTTAAAAGGTTTCATTTTACGTTTCTTAATTTGTACATTGAATGATCCTATAGAGAAAATAACGAACAGGTAAATATAGTCAAATGCATATATAGCAGCAGCAAGAACTACATTTACAGTGGGCAAGGTTTGGCTTTGGCACTTCTTGAATTTTTACTTTGAATTATTAGATCTATTTAAAAATTACTTTTAAAAATAGGAATGTGGAGAAAAACAGAATGAAATTGAACGAGCCATTAGAGAAAAGAGAGCAGTGGAAGAAGAACTTGAAAAGGTAAGGCAACTGTATGTATTTTTACATCATATTAAAGATCTCTTTTCAGAAGGAAAAGTTATATTGATTTTCCCATTTTCATGTGTTTTCCCCCTAATTTTCTTATTTTATTTTTTTATTATCTTTTCTTAATTGTAAATTTTCATGTAATTACTTTAAGGTTGGTTGATTGGTTTGTTTTTTTTTTTTTAATCCAGAAAGAGTTTTAAAGGTTCAACACTAAACTGAAAAAGAATGTTCTTTGAAAAACGTAAAAAAGTAAAAGAGAGAGATTTAACATAATCTGAAAGAATACTGGTTCAGTTAAACTCAATAGACAGAAAACTAAATAAATGTCAGATCAGATCTTTGAAAACTTTTTTTTCAAGTAGCAGGAGCAGCACAGATACAATGATAGAAATTCAGTTTTGTTTTAAATCACTGGCAAATAGGATGCAATGAGGAGTAAGTAGCTTCCTTGTCAGTACTACACTGCCAGTCACCAGGGCAAGGTAAAGATGATCTTACGTGTACATTTACTCTTCTTCAGATTTCGAGGGAAGACAGAGGGCAGGAATCTAACAGTAGGAAACTAGAGCAGCTGTATCAGAAGTACTTACTTGCAGAAGCTGCAAAAGATGACCTTCAGCTAAGTCTACAGACAACACAAAATAAACTGAAACAACTGGAAATTAAGTAAGTGATGTTACAGATGTTACAGAAATACAAGAGAAAGGCATGGAAATTATTTCTGACAGTTTAAATTGTTGAATATGTGATAGGGTTTTGTCACATCTTTTTAATCAGTAGCAAATATAGTATCAAAATACCGTAATTCTGAAATCTAATATTAGATTGATTTTATCAATTCCATCATCTTGATAAAATTCTTTGCTGACTTTTGCATAGTTCTAGCTGTCAAGCCCATTAAACATGCTGACCTAATACAAACTTTCAGAAGGAAATGGGGGAACAGCTGTACTGGGTCATACCAAAGATCTGCTCTGGTCTATATCTTTTGTTCTCTTGTTCAGTAGTTGTTCAGTTCTTGAGTTCCAACAGGACTTTCCTTCTCTTTCAGCTCTGAGGAAGAGAAATCTCATTGCCAGGAAGCTATTTGTAAATTGCAAAGCATTCTGGATTCAGAACGAGAAAAGAGTGCCTTTGTCAGTGAACAAAGACTAAAACTTCAGCAAGAGAATGAACAATTGCAAAAAGAAATAGAGGGTTTGAGAAAACTGGCAATAGAGGCTCAACAAAAAGCTAAAATAAAGGTATGCATTATATGTTATTTTAATTGTAATGTAAAACTTATATTTGCTTAACAAGGCAGCAGTTCTAAGAGAAAATCATTAAGTGTTTAAATTAAGGTTAGAAGTTTCAATGGTGCTTCCTGGTTGCTGCTTAAAAGTAGTTTTATTGTAGCATTGTGTCCTCAGAATCTGTTGGGTAACTCAGTCTCTGCTAATTAAATTGTATTTCAATGTGTATTAAATTCTCCTTCATAAGAAGACCCCAAGTATTCTTTGTTTTTTATAAGATGAATAGATTAAATAATATTGCAGTTCCAGATCTTCATTTATTTATTGTCTCTAATGTGTTAGAAATATCTCTCTGACTTTCAGCTCAGAGTGTTCCTCTACTTATGTGTCCACCATGTTGCCAGGGCAGTGTGTAACTAATAAATAACTTAATAGAGTGGTTGGGAAACTTTGGTTCTGTATTTTCTGGACAGAGAAGTTGCAAACAAGGTAATTAGATGAAAGATGGTTGTTCTTTTTGAACGTGTTCCATTAGGTGCACCTGAACAGACTGCATGTAGGATAATGAATCAGTAGTAACCTCAGCAAATTCACAGTACCTTTGGCTTATGGAGGGAGGAACAGCTTTGATCCTTGATGTGCTTTCTGAACATATATAGCTGGTACTTTCCTCTCTGAAATGTAAAGATACTTAAAAGGGATCTAAGAATCTGCAGCAGTGAAGACAAACTCAGTAAGCAGTTTTCAAGTTATGAATGGGGACCATCTCAAATCTGGTTTCCACTTTACACCACAAGATATAAAGGAAGCTGTCAAATTTAACAGGAAGTCTTGTCCAACTCCAGAACCCTTTACTCAAACATAGCTTAAAAACAAAGGATTAGAGTCTTGTAACAGATAGGCAGTGGCTATAAAGCATATACAAACTCTTTGTCTGTCTCATTTTAGTCAGACAGGCTTCCATTATAGTCACAGATAACATTTACTGCTTGCTCCTATTTCCCGCTGATGTACAAAGGATTTCAGATGCAGTTAAGAAACTCCTAACACATTTTAGCTAGACAAAAATGGAAGAACGTGTTTCTGTGGAGAAAACACAAGGGAGAAGGATAAAGATTGTTTACAAAAAATAAGCATACACAACTCATTATCCTTATTGTCAATTATACCATTTGCTTAAATTAGCTTTGGGAACATGTATCTGAGCATCTAATTACAAGTGTAATTATTGTATGTTATATGCTTTCAGTAAATATTTATAAATTTACCTCAAGCATTGTAAAACAAAACAAAAAAAGTAAAGAGTGAGAGATTTGATTGTACCAGATTTGTGTTTTCTTGTAGATAAGCACAATGGAGCATGAGCATGCTGTGAAAGAACATGGGTATGAAGCTCGACTCAAGGAAATGGAAGACACCAGTCACAAGTCCACTGCTGAACTTCGATGTCTGTTAGTAGCTCAGCAAAAAGCAACCAACCAGTGGAAAGAAGAAACAAAAAATCTTACCGAAACTGCAGAAGCCAGGATCAGAAAGCTAAAGTAAGTGCAGTTTTGTTCCTCTTCTGCAAAGTGTTAGTGTTTTAGTTACTGTGTGGTATAGGGCAGTAGACCTGTCGTGAAAAACCAATTGGACTAGGTGATGTGCTTCCAACAAAACAAGGAAGAATGATCTAAACAGAACTTTTGATGCTCTCTGTGAAGTTAGCACTGAAGTAAAAATTTCACATCTTGTTGATAATGTGTTTTTGTAATGACAAAATAAATGGAATATATTACTTTTCATTTACTCTTTCAAGATACAGCACAGTCAATTTAGAGAATTTTAGCTTTGGATTATGAGAACTTCTATACCTATTTAGAAAAGTCACCATAACATTAGTTGTGGAATTAGTGTCCAGACTTCTAGAATAAACTGGACAAAAACCTATTGGCATACACATCTAATGTTCTATTCTGAGCAGTTGCTGTCATAATTGAAGATACAAATGGGTTGTGTGATTGTCCTAAGAAAAAATACGTTATAAACTTTACTTTATCCTAGTTCATCTATTGCCAAGTAACTGGCTGATACTTGGATTTGCAGCACAGAATATAAGAATATTTTCAGTTTTGCAATTTTGCCTTATGCTTTATTTCTTTCTAAGCTCAGGAAACTCTGTCAGCTCAAGTAGACTATAAATTAGAGATGAGCCTGATATTTTTATAGAACTGCATAGAAGTTTATATCCTCAAGATCTCTTCCTCTTCAAAATTGGTTGAAAGTTGGAAGAGATTGACAGACCAGTACACAGTAACTTCTAAACCAGGAAGCTTGATTTCATAAGTGTCACTTCTTTAAAATGTTTAGAGAAGAATACAACATTGCATATATCATTATCGTTTAGGGTTTTGAGAAGAAAAATTAAGGATATGCCACTCTGTTAACTTTATAAATTTGAAATGACCCTTTAATCACTTAAAGCACAGGATGCAGTCTTGGATGGTTCGTGGCTCAGATTGATTTTAGAAACTGCTTACTATCATGTTAACAAGAAAGCAAAGCTTTTGCCCTATTACAATTGGAATGCTACCTTTCATTTCCTTTAGAGTAATCTTGGAATTTTTTGTGTTTTATTATTATTATTATAAAGCTTTACATAGTCTCAGCTCAAACCATAATATTTCCAGTATCTCGTGCAATTTTTGAAGTCACAGTTTTTTAAGCGTAGCTTGGCATTTCTTGGCTGTCAGAATGCCAATGGTGTGAGTGGAATTAGAATCCAATTTTCTAAACATGAGCAAAGAAAATAAATTCCTGAAGATGTTGCCTACAAAAAATCTACCCTACCGTTACTCCAACCTGGTCTTCCATCTTTGTAGAGAAGTATGTGGTCATCTTTACCTCTCCAAAGTAAACTGTTACAGGGTTTTTTTACCTTATCTGTTCAGATATAGGCTGGCTTTATTTTCCCTTAAAATATATTGCATTTTGCCAATATTAAAGAACAGTTCTTTAAAAAGGAAAAAGTCTCTTTCAGAAGAGACTCAACATCAGTGTTGAGCATGTCTGCAAGGCAATGGGAGCTATGCCTGTTCACTGACAGTTTTAATAGCTTCACTGGCTCTTACTAATACTTTTTTAACATTTTTTGTAAATGCTGCAGTAACTGGAGAAGAAAAGTATTTTGAAATGTTTCATGCTAAGGTAAATTTTAGCTCTTAAACTTGTAGTTTATTTTCTGTAATCAAAATACAAAAACTCACAGTTGAGCCATCTGGATTCATAACTAGATCCTGAATGTAGTTCAGCAAGTTCCAATTAAAAGGGAAAAATTGCAGACTTTCACCCGTTAAAGTTGTCTGTGAAACAGCTGGTTTCCTTCTAAAACCTTTAATGTTAAGTGTTAAAATGTTGTTACTGCAGACCAAAAAATTTAGACCTCATTTATCTGCAGCAAAATGCTGACATAGAAAATACAACAGACTTGACAGGAAGTCTGCTTTGTGAATTTGGATGTAGAATAGGTAGTGAATTTTGAAAATGTCCCTGTTTACATGACTTCAGTAGATATTTTAGTGCAAGTCTAAAAGCCAAGTTGATTACTTTTTAAGATGATTTTGCATGTTATGCTTTTTCAGACTGTATAAGCTAGAAATAGAAGTTTTTATCAGGTATGTGCTCTACCTTGCAAGGAAGCTGGCAGTAGGAACAGGAAGGTTGTCATTTAGACTGACATGAGGAGTTGCATATTAAATCTGTGCAGTGATGCACTGATATTATTATGAGAAGTGGCCATAACAGAAGCTATATGTATTATCTGAAAATAGGTTGAAAAGGCTTCCATCAGTACGGTATCGAATGTAGATACCGTCCTGATCCTCGAGGTCTGCTGTGGCCCTTTGGAGCATCATGCTGAAAAAGATTGTGAATAGGGTTGGTGCAAGCCTTGTTTCACACCTTTAGTTATTAGAAAGTCTTCCATCATCCCCATATCACCATTGGCGAATCAGAGCTCAAATCAGTCCAGCAGTTTAATTACCTAGGTAGCCTCATCTCCTTGGACAGTAAGATTGACAGAGAGATAGACAACAGGTTAGCAAAGGCATATAGTGCCTTTGGAAAGCTTCATAAAAGAGTTTGGCGAAATAAACACTTGAAGAAAAGCACAAAGATCAGTGTTTACAGAGCCATAGCGCTGACTACTCTCTTATATGGATCCGAATCATGGGTCATCTACCGCCACCACCTGCGACTCCTAGAACGCTTCCATCAACGCTGCCTCCGTACAATCCTAAACATCCACTGGTCAGACTATGTGACCAATACATCTGTTCTTGAACAAGCAGCAATCACAAGTATTGAGGCCATGTTGCTGAGAACACAGCTGTGTTGGGCAGGGCACGTCTCCAGGATGAAGGATCACCGCCTCCCTAAGATCCTGCTCTATGGTGAACTTGCCTCCGGCTACCGCATGAGAGGAGCCCCAAAGAGAAGATAAAAGGACTCCCTGAAACAACATCTCAGCCTCGGGCATATTGATCAACATAACTGGTCTACTCTGGCCTCCACTCGGGAGGTCTGGAGACACACCATCTTTAATGCTGCTGATGCTTTTGAGAAAGCACGCAGGATCACTCTTGAGGAGAAAAGACAACGCAGAAAGAATCGAGCCTTGCAGAATATACCACCTAAGGAGTCTTTCTGCTGTGCCTTTTGCAACCGGACATGCCTTTCTCGTATTGGCCTTTTTAGCCACCAGCGCGCTTGTGACAAATGTGGGTAGAGACCTTTCCCAAATCTTCGTTCGTGAAGCCCAGCCATGATGATGATATCTGAAAATACTAAAATTAGCCTACTTTTCACATTATATACATTAACAGATACCAAGTTATATAGTGTGGAATGCACTTGGTATGAAAATTAGCTCCTGACTTACACTCAACACGAAAGTCCTTGCTTGTAATATAAACGAGTACTTATCATATTTTTTTTAATGTTACCACAATAACAATTTGAGTATTTTGAGTGCAAGTGCAGAACAGCAAATCACTTCTTACTATGTTGTGAACTAAAATCACGTTGCTGATTTTTTAAAAAGCAGAATGATTTTGCAGCAAATGCACTTACCAGAAAAATTTCAGTAAGAGCACTAAATACAGAACACTAAAACCAGGCTGATACTGGTAATATATTAATTAATCTATTATTATTTAAACGTTCTGTTTGAAAGTCCTCTTGAGGCTAATGAAGGAAATGGTCTCACCAAGTCTCACAGTGGGGTCCAAGAGAATGCGGGATTCATGTAAATATATGAGGAAATGCAGAGATCATGTTGGTGGTTTATAGCAGAATTTCAGTTTTTAACAACAACACAGTTTTAACAAAAAGCATTACTCTCGAAGCATACTAATGTGTTTTATAACTGAGTGTTTTTCAGGAAGTTATAAACTTCCTAAGAAAGTCCTATCCTTGTATACCGAGGAGGTAGTTTACGTTTCACCAGGAGTTTGCTGTTAGTGCAGCTCTCATAAGCACTGAGTCAGTGTCCTGTTTGTTAGTGTAGGTAGTTCCCATTCCTTTACCTTAAATTCATGGTCTCTTGGTGTTTCTCCACTTCTGTCCTCCTTGTTTTCATTTTCCATGTGAAGGAAACATTGTGGCTTCTTTACTAAGTTCCCAGCGGCTGCTGCTAACTTTTCCACATTGTGCTCCTCATTTGTCATCTTTTAAGTCTAGCAGTGTTCTGTTGGTGAAGTGTAATCCATATGCATGAAAGCAGCCTTAAATAAATACTTCTAAGCAATGAAGAAACATCAGTGAATGTTAGGTGATTTTTTTACTTAAAAAAAATTAAGAAGGAAAAGTAAATTTTGCAACCCGTAACAATAGAACAGAGTAATGATTTTGTAAATTAAATGAGAATCTAGTAGATCCATGAAAAACCTGTAGATAAAAATGTTGATAAGTTAACTGATAGTTCCAGGCTTCATCGAAAATTATTCTGTGCTTTCCTAGACGTTTGGATCTCATTCAAGTTAAACATGTAAGTGTTGCTGATAAAACTGAATTTGAAATTCAGAACCACTGCTGAAACAGTAGGCAATGCGTTGAACTTGTAGACTAAATTGCACCATTTTCTTCATAAAAATATATTATAGTCTTAATTTATGAGAAGTTTTCTTCCCTCTAAGCATTTTAAGATGCTTTATGCATCTTAAAGAGGATTTATTAATCATAGACCTCACCTTCACCTTGCAGGAGGGCAAGGAACCGGTTTTGCTTCACTATCCTTCTGCCAAAGTCAGTCTTGAAGGTAAATGAGAAGGTCAGTGCTGCTTGCGACATGGATCACTGTTCCAAATAAAAACACTGCTCTTGACAGCATGGCTAACAACTCATGGCTAGTTTAGTTCCCTTATTCCTACAAAATGTCTAGTCTGGCAGTCAGAAAGAAAACTTTTCTGACTTGTGATTGCATCCATTGTAGATACTTCGAGTTCTAACTACATGTACTAAACACAGACAGCAAATATTTACAATTATAAAGTAGTAGCAAAATAGAGTGATTACAGTTAAAGGTTTTAAAAAAGGTAAACTTTCACATTCTTTATAGGGGTTTAAATGGAAAACAGAAGTAAAAAAAAATTTATAAAACTATCAAACTTATTTCAAAATGTAATTTAATTCATAACACAAAAAGAGCTTTTAAGTCTTGGTGAATAATTTAACTATTTTATGTTCATTAGTTTAGTAACTGATACTTAAGTTTCTATTTGATTTCTTTTTTATTCTTCTCCCTATATAGCTGGAATGTTGTCCAAGTAATCTAAATAACCAAATTGGGAATGTTGTCTAAGTAATCTAAATAACAAATCAGAACTAGATTTAATGTTGAAAATGTTATTTTGATCTTCGGTGTCACTTCTACACAAATGTGTGTAGAATTTGATAAGACTTAGAAGTAATCCAAGTTGCTGTTGCTGATCTACAGGGTATAGAGCTTCCAGTTGTAAAGTTGTAGGCTCTAAGATCAGTTTGAATGTTCCAAAAATTTAAGGTGATCTGCCTTTGAAAACTGTGGTAAAAAAATCTGTAACAAGTGCTTCCAGCTTTTTACTTTTCTTGTCTTCATTTGAAAGAATTTACTTTTGAAAGAAGTGGGGAATACATGTGCAAGTTTTTACAGGCTCTTGCTCTGTAGTTCTTCAGACTTCAGCTGAGAACAATAAATGACAGCAGATAGAAAATGGAATCAGCAATAACAAAGGAGCATTTAGGAAATCTGTAAATTGGAAGGAAACAAGCTTCAGTAACAACAGAACACAGTACAGAATGAGAAGGGATGAGAGAGACAGTTCTAGCAACAGAATGTAGGCAAAACTAGGGTAATTCAATCTGCCAGCATTTGCTCAAAGAAAATAAAGTGCCAAGACTGTATGCAGGTTTTAAAAATAAGGGTAGATTATTCATTCATTCTGTAAAGTCCACCCTGACCGGTCTGTGCTAAAATGAATGCACAAATACAATAGATGGTTAATCCCATCTAATTGGCATATCAGTGTTTTCCATAGATTTTTATGTCCTAATCCTGGGAATGAAGATAAGAATTGGGGTAGAGAGGGAATTTTGCAGATAACCAGATAAACTCTTACCAGACTCTGCACCAGTGGCCAACAACACGAGCTTATTTTTGTTGAACATGATTCTGGTTGGAGCAAGCATCAGGATAAGATTCACTTGGATAAGCAAAGTGGCATACTGATTCAAATAACTGAACTATCCACAGAATGCACTTCATTGGAGTAGATCTGGAAAACTGCAGACAGGGAAAAAGGTAGGTCTTCTAACTTGAAAACTTGACAGGGCATTGACAGTTCTCTCAGCTCTGCCATGAATATTGCTTTGGCCTGTCAGATGTGGATGTTTGCTTGGTTAAGGTACGGTTTAGCTTGAATTGGGTAGAAATAGGTATGCACAGGTCTGTTCTTCTACGAAACAGTACATGAAACAATTCATAAACGTTACCTTAAATGATAGATGATAAGTGTACTTCCATGTAACATTTGAGGAGCTTTAAAAAATTGAACTCTTTAAATAAAAATGTAATAAAATGTAATAATAATAATACATAGTATTAATTAGTAAATTAATAATCCTACCCATCTGCCATTATGTCTAGTAAATTCAGCTTTTTGGGGGGGAAAAAACAAAAATACTTGTTGTAGCATAAACCCATTATATTTGAATAACTATACTGAATGGCTTAATTTTTTTAATATTCACTTGTATTATTATTGTCAGTACTTAAAAAAAAGGAATCCTTGCCATATTGTTTTTAAATTGAAATACTTGGCTTAAGTCATCTGATTGCAGCTATTTTGGGTGTCTGTGTTCTAGTTTCTGCCTCTCACACATTTCTGTGTCATAGTTGGGAGTCCCTGTAGCCATGTGTGGGGTTTGGAGTTCTCAGTTTTATCTCTTCTGTAATTGAAAAGAATCTGCCTCTGAGCAATGACCTTTTTTGGTGGCAGTGTATGAAATGTTGGCCACAACTGCCTTCTTTTCCCTGCATCCTGTAGAGTACATGCAGTGAATTGCACAGCATCTTGAGATGAAGAAGTTTCCTCCATTTCTAAAACATTATTCTTGGCTGCACTTGTGTAATGTTTGGCAGCTGTAGCTGCTTACTTTAAGATGTTCATTAAAGAAAAAAATTAGCAGGATGAGAGACAGATGCAGGTACTGGTAGTATACAAAATTCGTAATTACTAAGAGTAACAGAATCATATTATAGTATAATTCAACCAAAAAAAAACCAGCTGGCACATGCTATATTTGTCATGAGAGCTTTGCAGAAAGTACTTGCTGCAGCTGGTGGATTTATCACCTATCTGCCAAAATGCTAAAAGATCACCTTTTGTTTCCTACTCACTTAGCAAAGACAATGTACAGTGGGGGCTGATTTAATTATTCAGCAGTTGGGGGAAATTGCTCAATTCTAATATTGAGATCTCATAATGTGTATTTGGGGAGGGTTAACACTCAGAATGAATCCACTGTCTAGCTCAATAGGCATCACATTTCCTTATGCTTACAAGGTTAAACTGTTTTCTTTAAATATGTGTTCAGTGTGGTCTCCTTGACCACAGCTGTATATGAGCATGTAAAACTCTGTTTATGGGCTCTGCTGCTAAGCATGCTAATTCCATACTCAAGTGCAAGCATAGGAGACAGACTGTTTTCAGTAACAAAGAATTTTTGGGCACCTTAAAATTGGTCTCCTATATTGAAAATGCCTCATCTTGATGCTTGATATTGATCACGAAGGACAAATTGCAATAGTGTTACATATTAACATATTCTCTTGATCCTGCAGTCTTAATCCATCTGTAATTCTTACTTTATATGAAAGTGTTCACATGTGGTAATGCAGGTATAATCTCTATATAACTTTAACTGTTTAACACGATTTTAAATATCTGCCTATGTACTTTTATTTTTATGAAAGTTAAAAGTTGTTGAGCTGTTTTTGTGATATCTACCTGGGATTGGTGAATGGGGTTGGTGGAGAACAGGGGAGTGGAAACTACTCACCTGGTACAGTGGTGACCTGATGTGACAAATACATTGCAACCTTGTATTGCAAGTGCTGTATATCGAGTTTTCAAAGTTCTATGAAATACCAGGTTTAAAAGTTTATGAGTAAATTGTTGTTGAGAACTAAGTGTCATCATTAAAACATCAGAGGCTTTTTAAGATTAACATCTGAGGCTAAAGTATCTTCTACTTTACCCCCATTCCCTCAAAAAGAATAAATGCTTTAGGTTCCATTACAGTGCCTGTAGTTTCGGTAGAGCATCTAAAGGTGAGGTAGTGGAGTAGAGACTGGTCAAAGGTTAGATCAGTTCAGTTTTGCACCTTCCTCTGGCTAAAATTACAAAAGTTCCATCTTTAGTCATCCTTCTTCTTCTGTGCCTTGTGATGACAGGAGGCAAGGACTGTTTCCTTTAAGCACTAGGTCAAAGATGTCTGTCATAACCCAGATGTTTTTTGTCTTCAATACTATGCAAATTGAGGATCACTAAAAACTCATTCAGTATAAAAGTAAAAAGACTGCTTTGAAGTAGGTGGTATTTTCCTTTTCCTCATAAAGTGTCACATTGTTGTCTGTCTCACAAGTATAGAATGATTTATTTTCGGATACTTCAAAGCACCTTTAAAATGCCCACGTTGAAGTCTGGTAAAGGAACACTAATTAGAATGTTAATCTCAATACTGAACGCACTGTGCAAATGCAGCTTATATTTATTACATACTAGATATCATGCCTCCGAAATAAGATTCAATAAACAGAAATAAACCCCTGTAAAATGTCAAGTGCTCTTGACAAACTCCTGCTGATTCCAACAAATACATCTCATTCCTCTGCCATTACAGTTTTGAATACACAGCGTGAAGAAGTGCTGTGTGGTGCTTTTGAAATCAGTGTTTTAAGAGCAACCCTGTAATTAAAATCCACCATAAGCCCCTACAATGCAACAAAGTACCTATGAAATTATGTTCCGATAACTGAAGTACTACTGTGTGCTAATCAGCATCTTTTCTTCTGATTCACAGAAGTGAGCTGTGTCAACAAAAACTTCGTAGCCAGGAACTCATTTCCCAGCTGGAAATAGCAAATAAGAAGATAACTGAGGTAAGATAGTGACTGATGTGACAGCTACTTTCAGTTACAACCTGATGTGTGTACACTTGGATCTTAAAAAAAACCTATTTAGGTGAGTTATGTTGCTGGTTTAGAGAAAATTAAGGATATTTGACAGGGGTAGTCAGAAATAATTGGAAAGCCTCACTGTTTCTGCTGACTGACATGTTCAAACGGCAGGAAGACAAATGAGCTTTACTCTCAAATTACCAAAGTTAAAGGAGAGATCATCTTTAAGATGACTAATTTAGGCAATTCAGGAAGTGTTTCTGAACTTACTTACACCTGTGGATTCATGCAAACCTCTAAACAGAAGCAGGCATTGACATTGTGGATAATGTGGCATAGACAGAGATACCACATAGCTATGTGGACAGTAGAATTTACCTTCTGTGTCCATATATGCATATAGCAAAGGTATTATCCATCAAGATTAAGGGCAGGGTTGTTTCGGAATGTGCATTGTTCAATAATTAAGGTCCACTTTAAAAAAGGGCTTTCCTGTCAGCCTCATAAATCTGGAAAAACGTCCGGTTCTACCCAGGATAAGTCTTCTATCTTGTTTTTTGTGGTGCTGTGTTACTTAGAGGAGAAAATTGGGCCTGATGCGAGAATAGATTTCTTTGAGTAAACTCTGGTTAAGAAAGGCTTTGTGCAGACCCTTTGAAGAGAACAGAGGAGGTCTGTAGCAGGTTTATCAGCCCATTTGTATTATCTAGTATATTCCTTTTCCTTTTGAGTATAGCTAAAACATTTACATGTTTTACCTTACCTGACAAGGTTGGGTGAATTAAATTACTTGAATTAAAATGTCAGCTTTTTTGCATCTTGCTTCAAGATGGTGAAATAAGTAAAACTTCCCCTGCAGATTAGTCTGAGTGGAAAAGTCATTTCATGTCATATTTGAGCTGGAAATTCTCTATAATGTGTCAGCAGTTTGCCTTCAGGCTTACTGTAAAGGGAAAACATTTCCACTTCTGACATTCCTTTGTGTTAAGCTTTTTTGCTGCAGTATGTGTGGATTCAGTGAAAAGAACTTGGCATTGGTATTCCATTTATACAGGATGAGACATTAAAGATGGAATATCGTGAATACATCGATAGGCTCCAAAGACGACTGAGCCAGGCAGAACAGAGGGCAGCCACAGCATCTCAACAGGTACACAACTCACAGAAAACGTTATCTAAGCACATTGAATACAAAAAGCACAGAAGTAGTCACTTTGCATCATTCCTGAGGCAGAGATTATCATTTGCATGCATTATTGCTAATATAATTTTAACAACAAACTTGTATTTTGAATGTGTTGCCTTCTGACAGGATCCCTATGTGACAGTGTAGGTTTGTTTATGGAAACCAGTTCGATGTGAATTAAACTTTAAAATGTGTTAATGAAGGTGTACAATCATTTCCAGCTTCAGAAATGGCAGCAAGCTAGCAAAGACAGAAGAAACCCTTTCACTAACTGCAGCTCCTGTTTGCACAGAGCAGGTTGTTTATCTGTTGAAGAACACCCCACTGCAGTTACCATCAGCTACATATAACAGCTGCAATAATTCTTGCAATGACAAAAATACTGAAAATTGTGCAGAGAGAATAGGAAATCCTTGGTTTTTTCCAGGCCATGGGAAGAGGCAAAAGAGAGATGGTGTATATGTATGTCACTGTTTAATTTTTCCATACTCTTTAAGCTATACAACTCTAAACAAATCCCCTGGATGTTTATACACTGGGATCACTTATTTTCCAAGGAGCTTAATTACTCAAGTTGGCCTCCTGTTAAGTAAAGATGGTCTTTCTGCCTCCCACTTATTTTTACAGTGATTTAGGAAACTGATTTGCAAATTATAACTTGTTAATATGGGTGACCCCATGTGAGCTGCAGAGAGAAAATATTTGACTGACCTAAATTGTCCAGTTTTAAGACAAATGGCATTTTTTTCTCAACAGGAGAGAATAAGAGGGCATAGATGCCAAGCTGTCATAACATAAGCTATGGTTCCTGGCTCTAAATGCTCTCTGTCATGACAAGGTCTACTCAGCTGCTGAAGATTTGCTCTGAAAGAGTAATTTATTTATTTATTTATTTAACCTCATGTTTGTTATAGGGATCTGTTCAGCTCTCGTACTTCTGGGATGCTGTCTTCCTATAAAAAATCAAAAATGGTCATGTCACATTTCAAGGGAGTAAACTTGTGGCCTCCGTGCCCATAAAGAGGTCCTGCTGTTCCAGCAAAGATTGGTAGTTAGCTGTTCCTCACCAGGCTCCCTCTGAAAGGTAACAAAGAGATTTGATAGATGTTCAGCAGCCGAACTGTTGCCCATATCTTGTTGCCAGAGTTCGGAACTGCCTTGCCCTCTTCAAGCTTGACAGAGGTTACTGCTGTCAGCTGTCAGGCCTGGCTGCTCTGTAATGACCTCAGAACTGCTGTGCCAAGCCCCAAGAAAAGACATACCAGCAGTGTCCTACTAAAGTCTGGAGAAAGAGGTCCCCAGGAGTAGTGTTTGCAAGAATGTCCACTCTTCTGAATCTGGGTATTTATTCTCTTCCAGGTCTCCAAAGACTGAATGCTTGTGTGTGTGTTCCCTCAGATTTAGAGTGGGATTCTCTGTATTCTCAATCTGTAGGCTGAGGGCTGCTTTCTCACTTAACTGTGTGTTCTCATTATATTATCCAGCTTACTTGTAAAATTAAATCAAATATAGGTTAGAGATGGACTAGTAGGGAGCCTAGAAATTACACTGTTATTGTGGACAGTTCAATTACTCTAAATTTTAGCTTATTCTGAAATAATAGTAATTCAACAAGAAACATAAAGAATACAGGATAATGGCTGCATAGGTTTAAAACATGTCTATTCTGTAGGTGTTCTTTAAAGTGTACTCCTGATACCTGATCTTTCATCATCTTTAATTCTTTGGGACCTAAAATAAGACAAAAGCAGTAGTCATCTACAGAGCACATTGTAAATTCTCTTGTTTATCCCAAATTCCCATTTATCTGTGCTTGTTCTCTCTCCTTTGTAACACCTTCAATATAGAAGTTCTACTGTTACTTTGATCCTACAAAGAATTATTAAGAAACTGTTTGCTTGTGTTTCATTACAGCTCAGCCTGATAACTGCACAGAATAAAAAAGCTGCTTCTCTGAAGGATCTGGAAAATATTTAAACATATGTATTGCTCATTCACCATACTGGAGTTAAGAAGATTGCTGGAGAAACTTCATATTGGAGCAATAAAGTAAAATACACAACAAGGCTTGTAGAACTTAAACATTCTCTGGTTTATTCTGGTAAGAAAGGGAGCGGATGAAGGTCCTGTCTCTGTATGCACAATAAAGATTGGAAGAAGAATGCAGAGTTTTGTTGGTAAAGTCCTTTAATATAGCAGATGAAAAAATCTGACACAATGCTGTGGCATATTTGGGTTTTTTGGTCTAAAATGTACCAGCTCCAACTATGACAAGATTGTGTACAGAGAGTAGGTAACACTTACACTGAAATTCATCTTGGCTTTGGTCATGTACAGTCAATACCTTTAATTTTTCTTTATAGTGCAGTAACTTGGGAACAATTTAAAGAGCCTTTATGAGCCGTAGCAAGACTAATTACATAACGAATGCCAAATAGTTGCTGGTTTTGTGGTCAGTGTTTGAGCTGCAAGATGCCTCCATTGCCTTCCAGTTTTAAGAATTTTGTTCAGTTTGGTCTGGTGCCCCTGGCATACAGGTAGTAACTAAAATGCTGCCATGGCTCCTCAGATAGCTCATTTCTAAGGACTGTCATATATCTGCAGTTGTATTTTTTCTTCCTAGTTACTATTTTGCAATTACTTTACAATTCCTTGCTTTTCTGTTGATCTGCTCCCTTGGTTTGTACGTATCTGGGAACATCCATTCTCTGACTACAGTTTGGACAAAGGTGACATCATCCAGCTTTTATGCCTTTTGAAATAGTGGGATTGAATTCTACAGATGCCAGTATGTGGGATTCCTCTTGTCTACGTGTTTTTCCTTGATAGTTGAGAAACTTCATATCTATCATTCTAAAATCAGAGCCGAACTCCATTTTATGTTTCAGCACATAAGCACTTGATAGGTGTTAACTGATTGTGAAGTACTCCCATCTTAGCCTTAAGTGACATAATTTCTTGTCCTTCCTCTTAAATGTCAAGAGTATAATTTCAGTTGATGGGTAGTGCTTACCCAAAACTGCTGGTTTGGACTAACCAACCTGTATGATTGTGGCAGTGGATCTTCACCATATTTGTATTTTAAAAGGCAGAGCTGGGTTGATCACCTCAAGACTTTGTGCCACCTCCTGAAACCCTGACTGTGCAGGTAGAGCCTGCAAGATGGATGCAACTTCAGGAACAACTCCTTACTGCAAGGGGAAGTCGCTGGTTCCTACAGTGGTACATGTGTCTTTACTAGTGCTTTCTTCATTCGATATGCACCTGTACTCATTGCAGTCTAATTTTGCTAAAAAGATATTGAAGATTCTTCAAAGCGACATGGATACACTGTTCAAAAGCTCCAGAATTCTGTTGGGGTCAGAGTTTCATCAATCAGCCATGTGTATGATACAGAAGGAGGCAAGTACCAAGCACCTTATTTTCATTTCCATAATGCACAGCTGAGATGATGACCAACCACCTGGGAGATTTTGTGTGAGCTATTAATCCCCTTCACTCCTCTAAGACAGGCTCTGGCTGTGAAGTGAAGGCTGGCTGGAAGCATCAGGCAAGTCTGAGTATTTGTGTATTTGTTCTTCAGGGCACAGAAGGGCACCTGTGTGGTTCCTCATTAATTATGGGTACATTCTAGCTCTTGTGTGATGGCTGTTTGCCAGAACAGAAATTGCAGTGATGACACAAGCACCTAATAGTGAAGTTAAGGGGCAGGAGAGCAATTACAGCACATGACACAGGAAAGGAAAAGGTTTCCCTCCTGTCTGCCTAATCCTCTGAGCAGCTAAAAACAGACCAAATGCATTTGGCTGAACCACGAGCAGGAATGTGGTCACATGGAGCTCATCGTACTACCACCAACTCCTTTCATTTGCCTTTGGTGTCTAGAGGAGACTGCTCGCATGTTGTTCCAAGTTGGACTTTCAGAGGAAAGGCAATTGCTAAGGCAATTAAAACTTGAGACTTGCTAGTTAGGTAAGTTTTGCTCCTTTCCTTGAGACGCTTCACGGCATGGAGCTTTTCATTTAGCTGTCCTGGTTGTTTTACATTTGTTTCTAGCTGCATATTTCTTGTCCCTCTTCCATTGGAAAGTTTGTTTCTGCAAATTTCCTTTCTCCACCCCCCGGCACCAGGTTTTGAGTAGTTTAAAGATTCCTTAGTGTGATAGTACTGCCTCCCACTGACTAAAAATATTTTTGACTATTTAGGAAACATTTCTAGGTGATCAGATTCTTTGCATTCAACAGGCGAGATTTCATTTTGCGTCTTCCCAAGAGCCCTACCCCTTGTGAAACAGTCCAGACAGTGAAAGATCTATCAGTGGTGTTTTTCAAGATGCATTGCTAGATGTGAGCCTTTACAGCCTTGTCCTTTTCTTGCTCTGCTTCAAGTCCATTCCGCATTTCTGCATGTTTAGAGGAGTTTAGAGGAATCCTAATCTTCTAGAAATCCTGCTATAGCAGGATATCTCTCAGCAATGCTTGACTCCAGGCAATTCAGAATGTGAAATGAACATTCAGCCTAATTATTCTGAAAATCCACAGGTACAAAACCTGGTCTGCCTCTTCCAGTGGAACATGAATGAAGATTATGGAGTTTAGATGGACATCACAGATCAACAAATTTAAATGTTTTGAGGTAAGCAACATCTCTTGAAGGATCTAAAGGGAAAAAACGGGGTTCTGTTGATGGGATGGGCACAGCTGTCAGTAAGAAGTAGTCTTAAAAAAAAAAATTAGAAAATCTTGCAATTGCAGTGTGCACTGTGATATCTGTACTAATCCAAATTAAGTGCTTGTTTTAACCATGAAAGTTGTTGACATCATTGCAGTGAAATGTTTCTGTTAGAACCCAAACAAAAATACTGAGAAGTCTAAAACACTGCTGGCAAGGATATTGCAAAAATGTACAGCATTTATTCACATACAGACAAAGGCACAATTCTACCAAATATTTTAACAAAAAATACAGCTGTCTTCAACTAGGTCTTTAGAAATACTTCAGAAAAGGGAGAAAATAAATACAGGATTGGGCCATGTCATATAAAATAGTCATCTCTACATATACTTTTTATTTCTATCTGTTTCTCTTCATGCACCTTTTTTTAAATTAATTTCAGCTGAATGGACACCCAAGCTAGGCACATAGTGAAAAATCTTCTGTACAAGTTTTTCAAATATAATGACAATTTTCTTAGATTTCTGAAATTAGGATTTATACACAACACGCAGAACCCTTCATTTACATTTGTCTGAGTTTATAACCTAACAAATGGCATTCCAGGCAACTTTACAGACATTCAACTAGCCTACAGTTTGACAGAACACACTGATCATATCAAAGTCTTGATATATTTCCTTGGTCAGTCTGCACAAGGAAAGGGAACGCTTAAAAACAGAAATCCAGCAAAACCCAATAAAACACAGGGGTGGGTTTGTACTATCACTGCTGTACTTACAACACCTTCTGCTGAGAGCAAGTATGGAGACAAAACTAACCTATCGAGATGGTCGTAACCACAGCTGGCTCACAGCCTTTTCAGTTTTCTTTCAACTCAACTGGAAACATTACAAAGCTTTTTACCCTAAATGTAAGGGGACAAAACAGGTAAGGCATTAACTCTGCACAACATTAGCATTCATAATAGTGCAAATTAACAAGGTACCTCTGTCCAACTGGCGTGAGGTTAAAGGTTTACTCAGAATCCAAATTTAGGTTACTCCATCTATGGCTTGACAATTCTCATGTGATTATGAGCTGCTTGCTTATAGCAGCCTATCTATCAGTGCCTGTCTAGAGAACATTGCTGGATGTTGAGTAGAACTTACCTGCTTTTACCTCTTGTCTGCTGTTTGTACTTGTACACATCCCAAGAGTGATTATGTAATCTCAGGCACCAGTGCCCTCCTGACTTTCACCTTCGCAAGTCATGTAATTAGTCTGACAACTTGGGACCAGCAACAGGAATTTAGAAGTACATAAAATTCCCCTTCCTCGAAAGGTTAAGACTTCTGAGTTTTAAACAGTAATAATAGAGATGCATTCTGCTGAAATATTTACTTGATAATGATAACTTGCATAGAAAGGGTGTTAATAAGCCTTTTTTATTTTCTGATTGAACCCTCTGGAAGACTCAGTTATGGCAGAGGAATTCTGTGTAGTCAAGTGTTCCCTGCACAGGAGGCAAGGGTCTGACATTCTGAAGTGAGTGAACACTGCAACAGCAGGCTCGGAGTAGGAAAGGGGAGAAGGAGGTTCTTTACACCTTTTCATTGCTGCTAAAACTTTTTCACCAGTACATACCTGTCTTACATCTATGCAGAATTCCAAAAATCTACAGGCTCCTAACAGTCCACTGTGCTGTGTGCGCTCTACTTGGTACAAAACAGTGTCTTCACAACCTGTTAATATTATTGCTGACAGCTTAATAATTATTGCCATTTGCAATTATTAAAAAAGTACACAATCAGAATATGAGTTCCCTCTTCCATCAAATCTAGTCCAGAATAGAACGAAATAATTTTTCTTCATTTGACTGTAAAGAGCTAATCACAATTTATTGCCTTTGCATTTTATTCTATTTAAAAATATATATTCATGTCCATTTAAAGCAATCTTTTCAGTGTCATTAGCCTGGCTTTCCCAGTACATACCATTAGTGCATCTGTGGTGGCCTTTGGGAAATTCTCCTGACTAGTGCTTTAGAAAACTTCTGTCTTGAATTGTCATCACAAGCCTAGAGGACAGTGACTGACTAACAGTGAAGGATTATTCCATGGGGTGCTGGAACCCACAAACCTGCCCCTTGCTCAGAACTGAGCCAGCTGGGAGCATCCTCTGTGCTTGGTCTGAGTCTTTCCAGCCCTGCCCTGTCCCTTCCTCCTTCTCCAGTACAACATCATGGCTACCCCTGGTCATCATTTCCATGTAAACTCTGGAGCATACAGAGGGGTTTGAGCTGCACCTGTGCTCAAACTGAATGCAACAGGCACATGCTGCAAAGAGAGGAGAAAGAGCTGCCACCATCCAAGGGCAGTGACCATATGTAATGGGATTTAGCAGTGCAGTGCAGTATGGTCTAACAACCATCTTCCATTCAATACATGAGTTAAATTAAGAGCTTGTGCTTTTCTGGAAGGCAGGGGAAGGAAGTAAAATTTTCAGTGCCT